ACCAGTTGATTAAATATGTTACTGTGTATCACCATTTTTATTTTGAGACAGAGTCTTTCTGTGTACCTCAGGCTGGACTCAAACCCATGGCAATCCCCCTGCCTCAGCTTCCCCAGTGCTGGGATTATACAAGTGAACCATCACACACAGCCATAAGTATAGCAGACTCTCAGTGAGGGGATAGAAATGTACACAAAACAGTGGAATAATTTGTCAATGAAGTTCATAAACGACCATCAGGGTCTGTGGGTACAGTGCTTGCCTGTGGAGGTGGTTTGAATGAAAATGCCCCGATAGGCTCATAGGTTTGGCTGCTCAGTCCCCAGCTGGTAGAACTGCTTGGGAAAGATTAGGAGGTGTGGCCTTGTTAAAGGAGGTGTGTCACCGAGGGCAAGCTCTGCGATTTCAAAACCCCCCACGATCCCCAGTGTCTCTCCCTCTCTACCTTCTACTTGCAGAACAAGATGTGAGTTCTCAGCTGTTCCTGCCCCTGTACCTTTCCTCTACCTTGGACTCTAACCCTGTGGAACCCAGCTAAACACTTTCTTTCATAAGTTGCCATGGTCATGGTGTTTTGTCACAGCAAGAGAAGAGTAACTAAGATAGTATGTTCAGGGCCCTGGGTTCAATCCTCAGCACCGAGAAAACAAAGATGGACAGGATCTTACAAATTACCCAGGCTGGCCTGGAACTCACGATCCACCTGCCTCTGCTTCCCAAGCAGCTTTGACGGCTTTAATTTTTCCTGAAGAGTGTGTGATAGCTTAAGGAAATTAATAATTAATAATTGTATAACTTGATGTCAATGTTTACATGCTTAGCACTTGGCACAGTCTGTGTATGTTTGGTTACGATTTATTTTTATTTTATGTGTATGAGTGTTTTCCTAAATGTACATACATTCAACACATGTATGCTTGGCACCCACAGAGGCCAGAAGAGGACACCAGATCCCTTGGAACTTTAGTTACAGATGGTTGTGAGCCACCATGTGGGTGCTGGGAACTGGACTCTGGTCCTCTGTAAGAGCAGCCGGTGTTCTTAACTGCTGAGCTGTCTCTCCAGCCCCTTAGCATGTGATTTCATCAAAGTACACATAAGAGGGCTGGCCAGGAAGAGAACAGGATGTGTTTACCTAATGCAGTTTCAAGGAAATTCAGTTACCACAGACGGGAGCAGCTCAAGGAGATTTTTCTCAGTTCTATGGTAGGTTGAACTGAAGCTGCATTTTCTTTTGACGCTGGATTTCATTGTCCCAAATGTGTTTTGCCTGCAGCAGGGGATCCTGATTCCCATCACAACACTGACTCAAACTTCATTGCTGTAGTCGCTCAAATACGGAGAATTGATAAGCAGTAAAAGTGTTCCTGGATGGGGCTGGAGAGATGGCTCAGTGGTTAAGACTGCATAGTACTCTTCCAGAGGATCTGAGTTTGATTTCCAACACCCACATCAAGTGGCTCACAACCGCTGGTAAGTCTAGTCCAGGGGATCTGATTCCTTTGGAATCCACAGGTGCTCACACATATGTGGCATATGTTCCCACATACACATTAAAAAAAAAAAGGAAAACGCGGTGCTACTGGTCCTCTGGCAGTCTAGACATAACTTCTATCATGACTGGTTGGGACTTAGGTAGTGTCGCCGTGGGTTGGCATGGAGGTTTTAGAGGACTTCAGTTCCAGGCTCTGCACCTTCATAGTGTGTTCTAGCTGTCCTCAGTTTCTTCCCTTGTAATCTGTCCGTCCTGTATGGGCTTTGTGGGGAAACAGCCTGGCGATCCTTCCAATGATGTGTTGTGAGTAGACATGTTTCAGCCAGTTTACAAAATTTAGGGAGCATTTCCTTAGAACTTGGGCATCTTTTCTCCCCAAATCACTGAAAAGAACAGCCTCATTTTGGTTCTGAAAGGAAGGTCAGTGGGCGTTCTAGTCTCTGTCACAGGAGTCGAGGCTCAGATGTACAGAAAGAGGCCTTTTCCAGCCTCACCCCACAGAGGCCAGGCTTGGCCAGCCAGATGTAAGCCAGATGTTGGTTTGGAATGGAGAATGAGTTAAAAGAGAAAACAGCCTAGAAGTCAAAGACTTAGCTAACTGTGCCCACAGCCCTGGTCTCCCAGCCCTTGTCTGCCCACAGGGAGTGACAAGCTTATAAGAAAGCTTGGCACAAATAAAGATTTAAGTGTATGCCTTCGTCAGATTTAGCGCATGTGGTCTGGCTTTGTTGTTTTAGTTCAAAGATTATTTACCAACGGAAAGAACATTTTGAAAAACTGGAGATATTGATGGTGATTCCCCCCGTCTTTGTGCTTCCAGGAATTCCCTCCACGCTTGTAATGGCGTGGATTGCTTTAAAATAAATAAATAAATAAAGCCAGCTTCCTCCAGGGTTCCCTGAGCCCTGAGGGAAGGGATTTGGTGGAGACATCCCGTTTAGGACCGAGTATTCCAGGGTCTCTCACTCTCTGCACATTGTCCAGCTGTGGGTCTCTGCATTAGGAGCGAGTATTCCAGGGTCTCTCACTCTCTGCACATTGTCCAGCTGTCTCTGCATTTGTTCCCGTCTGCGGCAGGAGGGAGCGTCCCTGGCGATGGCCGAGCAAGGCACTGATCTATGAGTGCAGCAGAATGCCATTAGGGGTCGTTCTGTTGCTTTACTCCCTTAGCAAAACAGTAGCATTGGGTTTTCCCCTTGGTACCTGGCCTATTGAGTCTCAGGTTCTTGGCCACCCAAGCAATGTTGGAGACGGGTTCCCTCCCATGGAGCGGGCCTTAAATCCAATTAGAGAGTGGTTGGTGACTCCCACAAGCTCTGTGCCACTACTGCGCTAACACATCTTGCATGCAGGTCACCCCTGTAGACCGCAGGGTTTGTAGGTGGCTTGGTGTTTACCTTTCTTTCCAGAACCCTGAACACTAGTCACTGGGGGCAAAGGCTCTAGGTATCAGTCCAGCTTCTCCATGTTTAATGAAAGGGAGACATAAAGAGCGTAAGAGCCAGAAGGGATGGAGGATACCAAGGATACAAGGCCTTCTACACACAGCAGGACTGGTGCATGCATGAATTCACAGAGGCTGTGGCAGCATCTGCAGGACCTGCGTAGATCTCAGCCAGATGGGGTCCCAGTGCTGAGAGTGGAACTGGACACAGACCCCCATCCCTAACCCAGAAGCTCTCTTGGATTGATAACCACTTGAAAAGGAAAAACTATTTTCTTCAACAGTGTCACTGGGTATACAAATCACTCTTAAGACCAGGTCCTATTCCCAGCGGTAGATGGCCAACACAAAATGAACTCAATGGCGTTTTTGGAGGGTTTTGTTTTGTTTGTTTGTTTGTTGTTTGGCCATTTTTTTTTTTTACCCTACAGGTCTTTTGCTTATGTGTTATGGTTTCCGATTTTGTCTTTTTATTGGGGTTCTGTGCCTGCCAATGTGTGTGTCTCTGCATCTGTATGTGTTTCTTGTGGTTTTTCTTCAGTTCTTATTTGTTTTTAATCTTATTTTGTTAGTTTTTTTCTTCCTTTCTTCTTTAGATATGTTTGTTTTCTAACGAGAGAGAGCAAGAAAAGCTGTGGATGTGGGTAAGTGGGGAGCCAGGAAGGGTCTGGGAGGAGCTAGGGACTGGGACTATAATCAGAATATATTGTACGAAAAAAATCTACTTTCAATAAGAAATCAAATAAAACCAGATTCCAAGTTAACCTAAATAGCTTAAAAATAAAAGGATAGCTTCATTTTTTGGCTTAGAAATAAACATTATCAGGATTAAATTTGCTATTTGTATCAACAGGATGTCTGACAAAAGACTACGTTAGTAAGAAACACACAAAGGGAGGCTTGGTGATAATTTCCTTACTCACTAGGGTGAGAGGTTAGGCAAGCAGAAACTCCTTCAATATTTTGCTTTCCTCTCTTCTTTCCTCCTACATCTCTCCCTTCCTCCACCCCTTTCTCTCCCTTCCCTCTCTCCCTCCATTCCTCTTTTCTTCCACCCCCCACCCTGCCCCCAAATGCTAGCCCAGGCTAGTCTTCAGTTTGTGGTCCCCTGCCTCAGTCTCCAAGTGCTGAACTCTGTCTTAGTTACTCTTCTATTGCCATGACAAACATCCTGACCGAGGCAACCTATGAAGGAAAGTGTTTAATCGGAGGCTCGCGGTTCTACAGGGCTGGAGTCCATGAGCATCATGACAGGCAGACATGATGCTGGAGCGGGAGCTGAGCGCTCACATCTGCTCCACACGCAGAGGGAAGAGAGAGGAGGACCAGCTTCCAACGGGCTTTTGAAATCTCACACCTCCCCATCCTTCCCCAACAGTTCCACCAACTGGAAACCGAGCACAGGAGCCCATGGGGCCATTCTCACCCGAACCACTGTCGGTCATTCCCGGCAATGTGACGGCGCATGTCCAGTTATGCCCTCCTATATCCATCATCAATCAAGAGAACACCACACAGACATACCCACAGGCCAGTCTGATGGGGGCAATTCTTCAGGTGCGATTCCTTCTTCCCAAGTGTTTGACTTGTGTTCCTGGCCAGGCTGGTGTCAAGTTGACAAGAACTAACCAGACAGCCTGTGACCCAAACGAAAGCGTTTTAGAAACTGGTGGGTGTGAACAGCCCTGTGGGTAAAAATAATTGAGGCCCGCGAATGAACTAAAAATGACATAAACAAACTTCGTTTTCTTTCTAGACTACCATCCGAGGCTCCCGTGGACTTTTGGGGCTGTGTTCACCCCTCGAGGGACGATGCCCTCAACCCAGACGGCGTGTTCAGAGAGATGCTTCCGTGTGGTTTCTGCCAAGGGACTCCACAGGAAGGGAAGGGAGGGGATGAAATTCACTTACTGTTTCATGCTTTGGCGACGGGAAGAACAGAAAGGTAATTCGTGTCCGGTGAGACACAGCGCTGGGTGTTGCTGCTTATCTGGAGAAACACCCTCAGCTGTTAGCAACCCCACCCACATGCTCTGTCAAGCTCGAAGCAGCACACAGACAAACGCAAAATAGAAATTTACTCAGAGTAGTCTTCCCCCCTTATATAAACTTTCAGTATAAAAATGTCCCGGTCCTCATAAACAGTTTTCACTTGCAAAAAAAACAAATCCAAAGTTTCTGACCTTTGTGTGTGGAAATGGGAGTTTGTGTAACTAAGCAAATGGTCCCAGGTCAGCGCAGTCTCCTTGAGTTTCTTTTTAACTCTCCTTGTCTCTGCGTTAAATGAAAAGAGGACTTACCCGTAATAGAAATACTGTCTTAAAGTACTTGGAAATTATAACTGTTGGGTGCCTGGTTTTTCTCTGCTCCCTGGGCAACTTTAGTTAAAGCATCTAAGATCTCAGCTTTTCTGGGCTTAAACAGAAGCTTAATAGAAGTCAGGTGGTGGCTGGTTTTAGGCTCCCACAGCATGCCTCCTGCTGGTCATAAACTGGTGTGGAGAACCACATGAGAAGCTGCTATTCCATCAGCCTGCGGAAGCTGTCAGGAGCATCGACAAGAGGTTGACGGTTCATTTGCTACCGCAGGGGCAAGGAAAAAGATGTTCATTCTGCGTCACGACGGCCGCACGGGAGTAAGATGTCATGGATGTCCTTACTTACGGACAGCGCCCCTCGGTGTAAGAGAAGGCCGCTGCAGTGTCTACATGTGGGCGCTCGTGGGTAGACAGCAGTGACGGTTACCCGGAGAGCCACCACATGTCAGCCTACATGGATTCACTTGTGCATGCTGGGCCTGGGCAGGTGCAGAGGGGAGGCTTTGGGTGCAATTCTCAGCTTGGTCGACGGGTCACAGACCCGTCACCAGAATGCAGCGTCAACAGCCATTCATTCCACAGGTGCTGAAAGGGTGGCTGCTGGCCGAGATGGAAACTGTCTCAGACGCTGTCTTCCCCAAACTGTACCTTGTGTTAGGTAGTACCCTCAAAGTCCCGTGATCCAAAACCACTACGGGGAACCTGGCTTCATTATATTGTCCCCAAGGCTATTCTGTTCAGCACTCCAAGTTTAGGTGAGGAGTCATCGGTCCACACGATGGAGGTAGATACACTTTTCTTTTTAACTTTGAAAATCGATTTCCTCCGATACTTGTGCAGCAACTGTTTCAACTTGTCCTTAAAGAAGGAGGTGGTGAGAGTGTAGAGGATGGGGTTCAAGGCGCTGTTCACCGGAAGGAAGAAAACCACTATCCAGGAAGTGATGGTACCTGAGGAGGGAAACCGAGTGTGAACAGGGAGAGAAAGAGGCTCCTCCCTCTTTGCCTCCCCAGACCCAGTCCCCCAGTCTCGTCCCCAGAAAGCCGGCTTCAACGTTCCTCCTCCGTCTCCTGTGGATCCCGCAGACCACCCCCTCCTCACCTCCTGTCCCCCACTAGTCACTGTATCCCAGTCCCCAACTCCAGCAGGCACCGTCTGCCAAACCACAGGCCATGCCTGACACAAACCCAGGCAGGCTGCAGGCAGACCTTCTGCCTCTTTCTGTCCCCCCCCCCCTCCCCGACCCAGCCCCCAGTCTCATCCCCGGCTCTTCAGCAGAACACCTGTGGCAGCCTTCCCTGCCCCATACTACCATCTCCTGTGGACCTCACAGATCTCCCCCTTCTAACCTTCCTCCCCCCACTTGCTGCTCTGTCCCAGACCCCAACCCCAGCAGGTATCCGCTGCTGAGCCAAGGGCCACTTCTCTCGGGGCAGCAAGTAGGCTGAAGGCAGACCTACACCTAGACTACTGCTCCCGAGACCCTCTTCCTGCAGTCTCATCCCCAGCTCTCTAGCAGGAAGCCTGCTGAGGTCTCCCTTTCCTCTTTTACCCAACCCCAAAGGATCACAAAGACCTTTCCCTCCAACCTTCCTTTCCCCAACTCATCTCTGTACCCCAACCTCAAACACCAGCAGGCAGTTCCTGTGAACACACGAGCTGAGCAGGCCAGGGAAACAGCCATCACATTCTCTGAAATGCAGAGCGGAAACAGAAACCAAGGAACAAAAACTCCCAGCCAACAAAGACAAATCCCCAAATCAGCACCTAGACCTATAATCATCCCAAACCCAGGTGCCTAGACACCAGTGTAAAAACACAATCAGTAACAGCCAGGGCAATATATCTCCACCAGAACCCAGCTATCCTAACACAGCAAGCCCTGAATACTCCAAAATAGTTGAAGCATAGGAAAAAGACCTTTAAGGAGCCTTTATTAATATGATAGGGGTCCCTAAGGAGGAAACAAATAAATCCCTTAAATAATAAAGGAAATTACAAACAGGCGGTGGAGGAAATGAATAAAATGTTTCAGACCTGGAAGTGGAACTAGAATCAGCAAAGAAAACCCAAACTGTCAGAATTCTGAAAATGAAAAATTTAGGAATTCAAAGAGGAACTATAGAGGCAAGCTTCACTATCAGAATGCAAGAGATGGGAGCGAGAATTTCAGGCACCGAAGACACAATAGAAGAATTGTATCTGTCAAAGGAAATGTTAAATCTAAAAATTTCCTGCCACACAACACCCAGGAAATCTGGGACACTATGAAAAGATCAAACTAGAATACTAGTTAGAAACCCAGCTCAAAGGCCCAGAAAATGTCTTCAGCAAAATCATAGAAGAAAAATTTCCTAACCTAAAGGAGATGTCTACAGACATACAAGAAGCTTAGAGAATACCAAATAGATTGGACCAGAAAAGAAAGTCCTCCCACCACATAATGATCAAAGCACTAAACATATAAAAGAAAGAAAGAATATTAAAAGCTGCAAGGGAAAAACCAAGTGGTATGCAAAGGCAGAGCGATTAGAATTACACCTGACTTCTCAATAGAGACTCTAAAAGCCAGAAGGACCTGTATATATGTACTTTAGACTCTAAGAGACCACAGATGACAGCCTAGACTACTATACCCAACAAAACTTTCAATCACCATAGGTGGAGAAAGTAAGACATTTTGTGCAAAGTCAATTTATCTACAAATCCAGCCCTACAGAAAGTGCTAGAAAGAAAACTCCAATCCAAGGAGGCTAGCTACACCCGTGAAAACACAGGAAATAAATAATATCACACCAGCAAAATCAAAAGAAGGGAAAAACACGCACATACCCCACTCCATCTCATCCCCCACACCACTACCAACAACAAAATAACAGTAATTGACAATCATTGGTCATTGATATCTCTCAATATCAATGATCCCAATTCCCCAATAAAAAGACAAAGATGTACAGAATGGATGTGAAAACGTGATCCATCCTTCTGCTGCATCCAAGAAACACACTTCAACATCAAGGATAGACACCACCTCACGGTAAAGGATTGGAAAAAGATATTCTAAGCAAATGGACCTAAAACATAAGCTGGATAACAAAATAGACTTCAGAACTAATCAAAAGAGATAGGAAAGGCTACTACATTCTCGTCAAAGGAAAAATGCACCAAGATGACGTTTCAATTCTTTTTTTTTTTTGGTTTTTCGAGACAGGGTTTCTCTGTGTAGCTTTGCGCCTTTCCTGGGACTCACTCTGTAGTCCAGGCTGACCTCAAACTCACAGAGATCCGCCTGGCTCTGCCTCCCTAGTGCTGGGATTAAAGGCGTGCGCCACCACCGCCTGGCTGACGTTTCAATTCTTAACACCTATACTGCAAACACAATGGTATTCACTTTTTGTAAAATAAATACTACAGCTTAAATCACATATTGACCCTCACACACGGATAGTGGGAGACTTCAATAGCCCACTCTCACCAACAGACAGGTCATCCAGACAAAAACTAAACAGACAAATACTGGACCTAACAGACATTATGACTCAAGTGGACCTAACAGATTTCTACAGAACTTTTCACTCAAACTCAAAAGAATATACCTTCTTCACTGCACCTCATGGAACTTTCTCCAAAACTGACCACATACTCAGACACAAAGCAAGCCTCAACAGACACATGAACAGTTGAATAACTCCCTGCATCCTATCTGACTATCACGGATTAAAGCTGGATATCAACAGCAACAGAAAGCTTACAAATTCATGGAACCTGAACAACTCTCTACTGAATGAAAAATGAGCCAAGACAGAAATAAAGAAATGAAAGACTTTCTAGAATTCAATGAAAATGAATGCACAGCACACCCTAACTTATGGGACACAGTAAAAAGTGATGCTAAGAAGAATGTTTGCAGCACTGTGTACTTACATAAAAGAATTTGGACAGATCTCATGCTAGCAACTTAACAGCACACCTGAAAGCTCTACAACAAAAAGAACTAAGCACACCAAGAAGAGGAGATGGCAAGAAATAATCAACCCGAGGGCTGAAACCAATAAAACAGACGTAAGGAAAACGATACAAAGAATCAATGAAACAAAGAGTTGGTTCTTTAAGAAAATCAACAAGATAGACAAACCCTTATTCAAACTAATCAGAAGGCAGAGAGGATATCCAAATTAACAAAATCAGAAATGAAAAGAGGGACATGGCAACAGACATTAAGGAAATCCAGAGAATCATAAAGACCTACTTTAAAAACCTGTATTCCACCAAATTGGAAAATCGAAAAGAAATAAACAATTTTTCTCAATAAGTACCACTCAACTAAGTTAAATCAAGATGAGATAAACAATTTAAATAGACCTATAACTGTTAGTGAAATAGAAGCAGTCATTAGAATTCTCTCAACAAGCCGGGTGGTGGTGGCTCATGCCTTTAATCCCAGCATCGGGAGGCAGAGGCAGGTGGATCTCTGTGAGCTCAAGGCCAGCCTGGTCTACAGAGTGAGTTCCAGGAAAGGTGCAAAGCTACACAGAGAAACCCTGTCTCAAGAAAAAAATTCTCCCAACAAAACAAAACAAAACAAATAACAAACCCAACAAACAAACAAAACAAAACAAAACAAAACAAAAAAACACCCCAAAGCCCAAGGCCAGGTTTTTTTTTAAAGATTTATTTATTTATCATGTATATAGTGTTCTGCCTGCATATATGCCTGCATGCCAGAAGAGGACACCATATCCCATTATAGGTGGTTGTGAGCCACCATGTGGTTGCTGAGAGTTGAACTCAGGACCTCTGGAAGAGCACTCAGGGCTTTTAACCTCTAAACCACCCCTTCAACCCCAAGGCCAGATGGTTTTAGCACAGAATTTTACCAGAATTTCAAAGAAGAGTTAATGCCAATACTCCTCAAATTATTCCACAAAATAGAAACAGAAGGAACATTGCCCATTTCATCTTATGAGGCCACAGTCACTCTGATACCCAAACCACATAAAGACTAAACAAAGAAAATTTCAGACCAATTTCCCTTATGAACATAGATGTAAAAATACTCAACAAAACATTTGCAAACTGAATACAAGAACACATCAAAAAGATCATCCACCATGATCAAGTAGGCTTCACCCCAGAGATGTAGGGATGGTTCAATATACAAAAATCAATGAATGTAATCCACCATATAAACAAAAAAAGAAAAAAAACCTCCACATGATTGTTTCATTAGATGCAGAAAAGGTATTTGAAAAAATCCAACACCCTGTCATGATAAAAGTCCTGGAGAGATCAGGGATACAAGGGACATACCTAAACATAATAAAGCCAATTTACAGCAAGCCTCTAGCCAACATCAAATTAAATAGAGAGAAACTCAAAGCAATTCCACTAAAATCAGGAACAAGACAAGGCTGTCCACTCTCCCCATATCTATTCAATATACTGCTTGAAGTTGTAGCTAGAGCAATAAAACAAATGAAGGCAATCAAGGGGATACAAATTGGAAAGGAAGAAGTTAAATTACCTTTATTTGCAGATGATATGATAGTATACATAAGTGACCCTAAAATTTCCACTGGGCAACTCAGCTGATAAACACCTTCAACAAAGTTACTGGATACAAGATTAAATAATAATAAAAAAATCAGTAGCCCTTCTATATACAAACGACAAATGGACTGAGAAAGAAATCATGGAATTAGGATTTCACAATAGCCTAAAATAACATAAGATGAATAGCCTTGAACTCATTGACACAGGAGAATGTGAACAGAATATCAATAGCATAGGCACTAAGATCAACAATTAATAAATGGGATGTCACAAAACTGAAAAACTTCTGTAAGGCAAAGGACACCATCATTCAGACAAAGCAGCTGCCTACAGAAGGGGAAAGAGCTTCACCAACTCCACATCCCTTAGAGGACTGATATCCAACACATAGGAAGAACTCAATAAACTAGACATCAAAAAACTAAATAATCCAATTTTTTAAACGCAGAACAGATCTAAACAGAGAATTCTCAGTAGAGGAATCTCAAATGTCTGAGAAACACTTAGAAAAATGTTTAACGTCCTTAGCCATAAGGGAAATGCAAATCAAAACAACTTTGAGATTCCATCTTACACTTGTCAGAATGTCTATGATTAAAAGCACAAGTGACAGCTCATGCTGGTGAGGATGTGAAGCAAGGGGAACACTCCTCCACTGCTGGTAGGAGTGCAAACTTGTACAGCCGTTATGGAAATCAATATGGCAGTTCCTCAGAAAGTTGGGAATCAATCTACCTCAAGACCCAGCTATACCACTCTTAGGTATATACCCAAGGGAGGCTCCATCCTACCACAAGGGTACTTGCTCAGCCATATTCATTTCAGCTTTATTCATAGCAGCCAGAAACTGGAAACAACCTAGATGTCCCTCAACAGAAGAATGGATAAAGAAAATGTAGTACATTTACACAGTGGAATATTGCTCAGCAGTTTAAAAAGTGACAGCATGAAATTTGCAGGCAAATAGATGGAACTAGAAAAAAAAATCATAACCCAGACCCAGAAAGACAAATATAGTATGTATTCACTTATATGGGGATATTAGCTCTTAAGTAAATGACAACCATGCTATAATCCACAGACCCAGAGAGGTTAGGTAAAGAGGAGGGGTCTATGTGGGGGAAGGGGGGGCACATGGATCTCCCTGGAAGGGGAAAATAGAACAGATTTTATGGGCAGACCAGGGGTGAGTGAGGATGGGGGGATCAGGTTGGGGGATGAGATGGGGTGGAGGGAGGAAATGCAGAGAGAGACTGCTGGAATTGGGAGGCATTTGGGGGATAGTGTGTAAACCTAGTGTAGTGGAAACGTCCCGGACTCTATGAAGGTGGTCCTAATGAAGACTCCTAGCAATGGGGGTTACAGAGTCTTAACTAGCCATCTCTTGTAGCCAGGCTAGACTTCCAGTGGCAGGACTGGATTGCATTCAGTTGAGTTGTTTGCCACGGGGGTCCCATGGATATCCCCAAACAACCCAGGCTGTTGCTAAGACCAAAGGTTGCTCTCTGCAAACTGACAGCGTGGCCCCATTGTCAAGGAGAATACCCACACAACTCATTGAACATGGAGAAGTCAAGCGGGTACCTACTTGGAACCTTCACCCCTATGTTCTGGTCTCTTTGGTGTGGGAAGGGACTCTGCAAGCTACTGAAACAAAAACGTGGACACCAACCCAGCCATAAAACCTTTGACCTACAATCTGTCCTGCCTGCAAAATATGCTAGAGCAGTGGTGGTGTTGAACTTGTGGGAGTAGCCAATCAATGTCTGATTTGACTTAAGGCCCACTCCTCAAGAAGGAACCCATATGGACACTGCTTGGGTAACCAACACTATCAGTAAAAAACAAAACAAAACAAAACAAACAAACACATGGAAGAAAACAAAAAGGAAAGGAAAAGAAAGAGAAATTGTTTTTGCAGTGCTGGAGACAGAATTCAGGGCAAGTGGAGGATATATCCACAGACTGAGGCCATGGACTTAAGTAGATATAAAATTCCCATAACACATTGCAGCTGCTGTTGTATTTAATGGATGCTGCCTAATATATTAAAGGGGTTATGGATTCAAGGTTTTATTGTTTGTGTTTTAGTCATTGACTAAATTTGGGTTCTTGTAAGACAAAAACAGGAATAAATTCTCTGAAAGTATTTTGCAAACTATTATTTCTATACAAAGGTGCTTTTATTGTTTTTATTGCCTTAATTTTTTAAAAAAGGCTTTATTACAAAAAACCTCACAAATTAAAAAAAGGCACATACTGAAATTAATTCGATCTGAAATCTGTACATCTTAACGAACTGCTATAGTTATAATAAACTTCCTGGATCTATGGAGTTTTGCAATGGAGTTTACACTTTCAGTATTGAATGTATTTTATGCACTTATCCACCATCAAAAATGAAAATTCCATGTGCCAAAGTGCCAGTGTCTCTGACTATGACTGGGTTTGCTTTCAGGAAGTAAATTCAGTTGAGGTTTGCAGTATGGGTTCTGTTCTCAGCTGTCCACTGCTTGTTTGAGAGGAATTGGACACATGAGGAGAGACCCTGGGATGAGAACACAGAGGAACACACATGTGGGGACCTAGCGAAAAGGTGGCTGTGTTTAAGGCAGCCATCTTTAAGACAATATGAGAGGCCTTGGGCAAAACAAAACCTGAAGATACTTTGACCTTGTCTATCCTGGACCAGTGAAGTCTCCCGAGTGCTCCGCCCTGACCTTCCAGGATCCTCAATTCCATATCTTACATGGCTTACATGCATGCGTGATGTGAAGGTTAAGCCAGGGTGACTGTTCCTGGTGTGCCACGTTACAGTGGGGTGTCTGCAGACCTCACGTAACTGCACAAGCCCGAGGAAAAGAGTTCTTCATAAGCTGCTCATCACGTGTGCCTCGGGGCTTTCCATGTTCTGGGCTGTCACATGACTAAGACATAATTCCCACCCTGATCAGTTCTTCAGGTGGATGAACTTATAGGCTGTGGGTGGCTCCCAGCAGCCGTGATCTATAGACCTTAGAAAGGGCTTCAGGTAAAATCCAAACCAATGAAATGGGGTTTTCTCTGAGAGGTAGGATTGTGTGCTGGGTTGGGGTGTTTCCATGAGTCACAGAGCTCTTCAAAGCCTGATATGTTTCATGGTGAGGACTATGAACAGGGCTGCTGGTTCTATCTGGGTATGAGCATCTGAATCATGGGGAATTTGGCAGAATATTTTGCGCATGCTTTGCCCCCAGGAACCAATGTAGAGGTTCCGGTGGAACCAGGGAATCTACGTATCCATGTATCTATCTAAATAAGTGCCTATGTATGTACATACGTACATACGTACCTATCTATCTATCTATCTATCTATCTATCTATCTATCTATCTATCTATCTATCTATCTATCTATCTTTGTATCTTAGCTATGACCCACTAGCTAGTTCAGGTAGAAGCAAGATACTTAAACTGATTTTCTATCTTGCTTCAATTTTTTTTTTATTCTTCCTCACTGGACTGCACCACTGTCCACTGCCCACCATAGAATATTAATTATAAAACACTGTGGTGGGAGTGTTAATTCTTCAAATTGATGCCATAGATACTGATGGAGAATTTACCACATGGAAGGCACTCTCCCAACTCTGGCCTTGTCAAACAAAGGGCCCAAGAAGGTACAGTGTACCTGGGGATGAGGAAGGGCTGACCTGTATAAGGTACAGTGTACCTGGGATGAGGAAGGACTGACCTGTATGAGGTACAGTGTACCTGGGATGAGGAAGGGCTGACCTGTATGAGGTACAGCGTACCTGGGATGAGGAAGGACTGACCTGGTACCTCCACTTGAAGGAGAGACAGGATTTTAACGACAAACACTGGAATCCAGCAGATGGCATCTGAGAACACGATAAAGAAGAAGCGGTTTGCCACGGCCACCTCCTTCCCAATGTGGTTCCTCACTTCTGAAGTCTGGAGGGCTGTTTTCTGAATGGAGCAGAACATGGCAACATAGGAAGACACGATGATGAGGAAAGCCAGCAAGTTCACACCTGTTGGGAAGAACACACTTGTTTTACATCTCAGGCAGGAAGTTGGCAGAGGTGCATCAGTTACGTGGCTGTTCACACGGGCCTGGCACCGGTGTTTCCCGGAAGTACCCTCCTCTGTGTGCTCGGAGGTGTGTGGCTGAGCTTCCCAAGTTTAGGAAATAAAATCAAGAACTGGGTTTTGATTAGCCCTAAAAAGGGATTTCAAAGGTGTAAGTTCTTTATGAAGAGTGAGGCCTGGAAATTCCGATCTGGAATACCAGGAAACAAGACTGCTTTTCTTTTTTTCTTCTTCTCTCTTTCTCTCTCCTGAGACAAGGTCACAGTATGCAGCCCTGGGTGGCCTTGAACTCATAGACATCTGCTTGTCTCTGCCTCCTGAGTGCTGGAATTAAAGGTGTGTACCACCGTGATTGGCAAGACTGCTCTTCTAGAGCATGAAAAACACACTCTTGTGTTCTCTCTCTCTCAGTCACCCACTCACTCTCTCTTACACACACACACACACACACACACACACACACACACACACACACACGGTTTTGTTTTTAGTTCCTGAACTGATAACCCTTAAGGTACTGCTGTAATTATAGTGCATGTCTTAGTTCCTGGTACACATGAATAACAGAATCTTAGAATTTGTCATAAATATAATTGCCTCAGAAGCATTATTCTTTATGTTTTGGCCCTTCAATAAATGTAACACATAAAGCAAAAATGCATTTTTTGTTTACTTTTGCTTAGGTTGCTCACAGTAATTTGAACTATTGTGGTTTAGAACCCTTTAAACTCAATTTAGAAGAGAAATAAAAATGTTAAAAATACAACTAAATGAATCACTGTTTGGGGGCCAGATAGTTTCACAGATATCCCCTGTAACATTGATTTCTTGGTCCTCTAGCTCACTTTATTCTTGCTGTAATAAAAAGGAAATCCAAAACAGTGATTATCAAATTCTTTTTAATAAGCATAAAATTTGCATATGTTTCCAGAGCTGCTAAAAACATTCTTAGTCTGAATTTAGACTGTGTGGAAGACTAGTAATGGCAGGGAAAATGGTTTAAATTCCACGTTATTTTTATCCACAGCATTTTTGATTCCGTGGACCCTCACCACATTGTGGGACAATAGAATTTTACAACCCTGGTTTGTCTGAGGTCTCTCGTCAGAAAGTGTAGCTTGGCATAAAGTAAAAGGATGCTGTGGCAGGTGCATAACCCTTTTCAGCAGAGTCTCATGCCTTAGCTGTAAAACACAGTCACTTTCAACTTCTTAAGCACTTCTCCTGGGCCTGGCTCTTGGCTTTGGGTCTCTGACCCCACTGTCTTTTCCTGGAACATATCCCACCATCCTCTGTCTTCACCTGGCTGTGCCTCCTCATCCTGGGGCTCCATTTCTCCTTCAAAGGCGTCCCTGGTCCTCAGATGTGGGGCCCCTAGGATATCCTCTACTCTTTGCCCACGGTGCTTGCTGGCCTGTGCTATGAGGATGCATCTGAACGTCAGTATCTCTCTTTCTATTCTCAATGTCTGTGAGGGCTGGGGCTGGTGTATCTTTCGTTCTCAATATTGTGTACAGCTCATAGAAGGTGCACAATAAATCCTTGACCCTGCAAGTAGACTGTAGCGGGTATGTGCATGTGGGTGCATGTGTTTACACAGGAACATACATGAAGGTCTCTGTGAGGTCCACGTGTGAGAGAAGTTGGGAAGAAGAGAGCCCAGAGGAAGCACAGACAGGCTACAGTATCCTGGAAGGGACATAATTATGAACACGAGGCTACCAAACAAAAGTGGTGTCTGAGGAGAATTACCAGACACCATGGTAACGGTGTAAATAAAGAGCTTTGTTTTTCAGAAAAGCAGAAGGACTGGATGGAGAAATGGAAACAGAGGTTAGGGCCACCCTAGGATGAGTTTTAAGTCGCCCGTTTGTACTTGACCTTGAAGGTAGTTGGGGGCATGATGGTTTCAGCTTAGAGGGAAGCAGTTGTTTTCATAGCCAGGACAGTGCTAACAGGGCTGGTGAAGAGATGAACGTGAGGCTGGGGTAGGGGCCCAGGACAGACTGTGGTGTCAGAGGCAGCAGGAGGCAGTGAGGACACCATGCAGAGGCAAGGTCTCAGACTAAGGCAACAGCCGTGCGCAGAGACACGAGGCAGAGGGACGTTATTCTTAAAGAGAGCATCAGAGGGGCTGGAGAGATGGCTCAGAGGTTAAGAGCACTGGCTGTTCTTCCAGAGGTCCTGAGTTCAAATCCCAGCAACCACATGGTGGCTCACAACCATCTATGGTGAGACCTGGTACCCTCTTATGGCATGTAGTCATACATTGCAGGCAGAACACTGTATACATAATAAGAAGTAAATTTAAAAAAAAAGAACTAAGGATCTGACACTTGAGACCCTTGAAAGCTGAAGCCCCGGATGACACTCACACACACACACACACACACACACACACACACACACAAAAAAAAAAAGAGCATCAGAGAGCTTGCTGATGAGGAGGATGGAGGAGCAAGAGGGGAATGAAATGTTTTAGCTAAAAAAAAAAAAAAAAAAGAGGCCGTGGGAACAGCCCTCATTCTACGCAGGACTAAGAAGTGTTACACAGTAATAAAAAAATTAATGTTGAGGTTGAAGTCTGTCAATCACTTATAACAGAAGATATAAGACCATCATTTCAAAGAGGAAAAAATGGGGAATTAAGAAAACTGAAAAGAATTTGGATCAAGTGGCCTCAAGAGCTGTGTTTACAAAAGGCAATAGACCTGCCGGTGTTTAGATAACCTGTTTGTGAGCTTCTAGAATTTTATTAATATTTATTTAAGTTATAACTAAATTTAAAAATTATTTTAAAAGGAGTTTGAGTAATTTGGTAGGGTTTCAGAACTGGACACTAATTTAAAATGTTTCTAGTTCATACTCACTATGAATCTCACAAAGAGAATTCAGGGATGATTTTTTTTTTTAAAATCATCCAAAGGTTCTGAGAGTATGTCTTTGTTTTCCACAATAAAAAATTTAATATAAATCACCTACAAATGCACGCCAAGAACTTTGCTTTCTGGATGGACAGATCCATATCTGATGGCTTGTGTCACTTCTAGAAAGATGGTGGCGTCGTTCTGGGAAATGAAAAATAGTATTTACCTAGGAAAATCCCAAGGGAGTACCCTCTACTTCCAAAATCTTCCGCTTGGTCGTAATGAAGTGGGAAGCAGACTCCATTTTTCCCATAAAAGTTGCCAAAATAATCCTCGCTGGTGAAGGGAACGGCTGCTATGAGAAGTCCCACCCCCCAGATGCTGGCGAGGGCCACGGCAGTCTGGCGCTTGCCCAGGCGCAGGTTACTGAAGGGGAATACGATGACCAGGAACTTCTCCAGGGTCAGGAATGTCAGCAGCAGCACCGAGACCTCCGTGGACAGCGTGGCCAGGAAGCCCAGGAGGCGGCAGGGTACACTCTCCTTCCACAGCAGCGCGTACTTCTGATACTGCCCTCGGTACTTGATGTCAAAAACGCCCACGAAGAACAGGTACACCCCCATCAGACAGTCGGCACCTGCGGGAACCCAAGCAGCCCACGTGCTCAGCATCTCTCTTTACATTTTCCTAGATTCTTCTTCCCATATTAAATGATCCGAACTACCTACTAGACTACCAGCCAGCCAGTGGACCTGATTTGTTTTCTAGTTTAAAGAGCAGAAAAGGTAACATTTTCCAAGGGCTGGTACTTAAATAGAAATGTATACTACTTGTATAGTTAATAAAATATTCTAGACTAACATGAATATCTAGCCCTCCTTCCTCGACAACTGGTGGTGGAGGTGGATGGGAATCTGAGCTTCTGTAATTGAAATTAATAATAAATTAAATTAGTAATAATAAAAGTTAAAAATATTAGTTTACAAATCTCAAAACTTATTCCATTTTCCATCCCTCACTCACTGGCCTGTGATTTCATTTCTAAGACATGATCCCTAGGGCTGTGTTTCATGCGAAGAGCCTGTAACCTAAAATCACAAGGAGCAGTCGAGTCATAGCTAGAAAATATTTGCCCACCAAAGCTAATTTGGATTGAAGGGTATTTGTTGAATATACAATCCTGTATATAATATATACACAAAATTTTATGTGTATATATACATACATATACAATATATAATATATACACACATATCAGCTCATAGAAGACAGTCTATTTATACAAGACACATACTTACAACAAAGGATTTTGATGGACATAGCGTGAGTGGTATTCTCAGCCTTAATAAGAGATCTCACGGCAATGACAAGGACATTCCCCACGCTGGTAATGAAAGCTATAACCCAGACAGACACTCTGAGGATACTGTTAGCCAAGAGGTCCTCAGATGAAGAAATGCCGTCAGTCGAGGGCATACAGATTCGGACATGGGGTACATAGGAGCAGTATCGGAAGGTTTTCAGATAACTGAAGCCAAAAGAGAAAGAGGAAGAGTCATTTGACAGCAGTGATTGAGGGGCTCCTACCGGACCTAGGGCGGGAAGTAGGGGCTGCCACTTTGCTAGTTGGTTTATTATTGTGACGTATTATTATTTTTAGGTAATCTGTTAGTCTAGGTGGTGCTGCTAGGAAGACTAGCACCGTATGGACCTAGACTTCAGAAGCGTGTGGCTGTGTCTGCTGAGAGTCAAGGGTGTGGGAGACTGTAGAGACCCGAAGTCACGGGGGCTCTACTGTGGGGCCTTATTGGATGTAGTATTCTATTCTCACTGGGTATTCTAAAAAGCAGATCACCGTCACAAAACTGATCTCTAGCCAACATCCCAGGCTTTCACTGTAAGGAGCCTACGACTCACAAAAAAATATTCTCAATGAACATTGAGTATCTATCTAGCCTTCTCCTTGTGCTGGCAAGAGGGGAGAGTCTGAGACCAGGGAAACTGAGTCATTCTGGAGCTGGGAGGGGAAGCAGTCCCTTAAACACAGGGTTTGGATCAGAGTTCTTGGAAGGATTTAAATTCTAGAGGGGAATGAAGGCTTGTTTGGGGTCAATGCGTTTGTAGTCTGGGCATGGGGAATCTCGAGGGTGGGATGGGCCAGCCCACCCCAAACTTGTATGTTTAGATTTTCTCCCGTGGCATCCACTGCATTTGTACTGGGCCTTAAAGTTCACTACTTTAATCTCCCCCGCTCCCAGCTGAATATAGTCTTACCATCTCCTAATTCAGTTTCCACACCAGCAATTAGATGATCCCATGATACTATGTGGGCCCCTCTTAAGATTGTATGTCTGGGTGTCCTTAGCTGCCTGGCCTCCTTCTACCCAAACACAGTGGCCTTCTAACCCCACACAAGCCAGGCCCATCCCCTTCCCAGAGCCTTGACTCTGCTTTTCCTCTGGATGTACTCAGGTTGTCTCAAGTGCCGCATGACTGACCATCCAGAGGCATCATCTATCTCTTTACTTTGTTCCATGGATCTCCACGGAATTTAATAGGCATTTACTTATTGGATCAATTACTCCGTTTTGAAAGCTAAATCCAAGTTCTCTGGCACATTCTTCTCTCTCCACTATGCACTCAGCATCTCTCTGTGCCTGTTGGATACCAACGACCCAACAAACATTTCTCAGATCAGCAAGAAGATGATGGATTGTTGAATGCTGGGTGTGTTGGAGACATATAAGGCAAATTCTACCCCGAGTGGTGTATAGTTCAGCTTCCTAGCAGTTGGCATCCAATTAAAGGAGTTTGGCATCTGACTTTATTGGCTTCTTTTCCTACCCTGTACTCCTGGCATGAACTTGACCCTTTGGTCCTTGTAGGATTCCATTATGCTCATGGTCTTCAGAAAGAGCCCTCCCTGTTGGTCCTCCCACTGTAACCAGGGGCAGGAGGAAGGGAGGGGGTGAGGAGGCAGGGGTGTTTCAACAATTAAAGGCCAAGGAAGGGAAGAAGAGCAGACCCCTTGGTGGGGGTGTAGCTAAGCTAGCTCGTTTTCTGATTGTTGTTGGTCCCTCCATGACCTTGACTTTGGCATTCACAAAAGCAGCTTCACTGAATTCTGAAAAGGCTGGAGTTCCCTATTCTGTGAAAAACTCACCCTCCACCTGCAAGCAAGTAAAGGGGAGCCTCATGAATTATTTATCTAACGGTGCCACAGGGAGAGGAAGGAACAAGAGCACGCGGATACGCACTGGACACCTGTCTTTGAGGCACCAGGCCTGCACAGACAGAACCAAAGTGTCCCCCCCAATGCACCTGAATTCACATCAACACTCTCCTCGACTGGCTGCACCCAACTTGGGATCTTACATCGATTTCTCCCTAGTTTTGTGGATGACAACAGTTAATTTTGAAATTAGGAACATATAGATTATATATACAGTTGATAAAGAAATGATCATGTTAAAAAAACACATATATGAAACACAACTTACACAGTGCACTTTAGTCATATATATTCAAGTGACTTTAACAGAACTACGATAAAGATTCATTACCTCCATTTTGCAGTGCACTTTTAATAAGAGAAACAACACCTGGAATCTACAAAGCCCCAATCTTAGAGCAGCCGACTGCTCCCTCATGTGAAGTGAATTAATGATTCCAGGTCTCCTGAGTACCCTTTAGCCAGTGCTTCATCTGGTGTAATGTGTGGCACTCTGGTACCCTGAGCTCTTTCTTAGTGGGCCTCAATTGGATAAACATCGTGTTTCCAGAGAGAAGGGTCATTCATGTCGGCACATCATTATATTGAACTCTATTTGAACAGGGACCAAAGGTGAGAAAATTAAAACGTTCTCAGTAGGAAAGAAGACGTCTGTTGCATACAAACACAGTTCAGTGACAATCAGACAGTTGAGCATGAGAATGTTTGAATTAATTCATCATGCTTTCTTTTCCCTCTATTCCTTCAAATATACATACATGTGAGAAAGGTTCTTCAGGGGCTGGAACATGCCTGTGTTTATGTTTGGAATCTCTATCCTTTCCAGGTCTCTGGAAAATATATATAATAGGTTTAATGTTTTTAGGGTTACACTTTGAAATCATTTCTTTCTTTCTTCTTCTTTTTTTGGTGACATCTCAAATTTGATGCTTTGAAATTTTATGTTACCTATTCAAATATGAATAAAAATTTCATAGTAGACATTCTGAGAAAATTATCATTAATATAAAAATCTGTAAGTTGGAGCTTTCATACCACTTAAATGCAGAATTATGTTCTAATACAACACTTTGGTGTTATATATTGGAATGGCAAGGGGCTGGGAGAGTGTGGCTCAGTGGTTGCATGCTTGCCCAGCAAACAAAGGTTCTGGCTTCCATCCCCAGAAATGGTAAACAAAGAAACAAACAAACAAATATACTCCATAGCTCAAATGGCAGTGGTGTCTGATGTGAGCATAACGTTATCTTTATACTTTGATACTTTAAACTTTGCCATGGAAGTTCAAGGGGTTCATTCCATAGTACTGCTAACAGAAAACACCATTAAAGTGAGGCCACTGGGAATCAGGTGTGAATATTCATTTTCCTCTGGCCTACGTGTCTTTAGAGCAGAACCACTGAGGCAGTGGGAAGAGGCATCAGTCAACTGTTCAGGACCATCATTTACTCAGACCCCAAGGGAAGAATCTTGTTATCTGCCCAGGCTCTTTAACACATTTTCAAAGGGCTCCAGCAGGCATTGGAAAATTCTGAAATCATCCAGGAGTTTCTAAAACTTTGGATCTCCGAGTCCTTCAGGACATTGTGAAGGAAGAGCCACAGACTTCTCCGGGGACAAACAGGGAAAAGTTGCCCTCAAAAACCAGGCTTTTACCCTGTTGCTTTCAGCTGATCCGAATGAAGATTTTGCAACATGGTTTTGAGTTTTTCTCGGCCCAGTGATTCCTTCACAGAGGAATCTCCTTGCTCGCTAGACCAGAATTAGAACTTGAAGAGATACTGATACTATAGAATCATTATGTGACCTTTGGGAAAACACCCCGAGATCCTTCTAAAAGCCCTCCCCTCCCACTTCATCTCTTCTCCAGCTTTCTCCATCACTTATCACCACTGACATTTTGCATGGACTGTGCGGCTACTACGATGCAGAGGCCATTATGTCCTGTGTGTAAGACAGTGTGGGATGTATGAGTCGATGTCCAGGGTGAACTGTGTGTACCAGCGAGTCTTAGAAACAGAAATTAGACAATAAATAAACGAGAGCACAGAGAGAGGAATGGGGACCTCACCGCTACTACTTTTGGAAAGGGACCCTATGGTGGCTGGATAGTCTCCCGTTTGGAAACGTGTGCAGTGAACCTAGAACCTTACCGTTCAAGTTCTCTGCCACTGAGCTACATTCCCCAGCACTTTAAATATCTTCCTACATAGGACTGCTCTGCACAAGAAATTGAGTATTTATAGTATTTATAATGTATTTATAATGAAATATGATAGTATTGTCCATCTGGAGAAGAATCATGTCCATAGTCTAAAGTCTGTTGTTAAGTTTAAATATAACAGGTTAGGGCTGGAGAGTTGGCTCAGTGATTAAGAGCACTGGCTGCTCTTCCAGAGGACCCAGATTTACTTCCCAGCACCCACATGGTGGCTCACAGCCATCTCTGATTCCAGTTCCAGAGATCTGATGCCTTCCCCTGGCCTCCAAAGCCACTGGCATGCATGTCCACATACCTATCCCCACCATGAATAAATTAATAAATCTTTGGAAAAATTACAATAATATATTATAGACTTTGGTTGTTTACACTCTAGCTTTCTAAGGGCAAAGATCATGCTGCCCATCAGCCGATACTCACTAATATTGGCTAAAAAAATCGTTAAATCTTTTGTTAATTTCTAGTAGAAATCTATTTAACAAAAGGAAATGTGATGGTGATGATTAGTACTTGGAAGGAGCTTGGTGTGTTGATGTGCACAGACCAGCAACTTTGGCTCGTGAGAGGTGGAGGCAGGAGGATTAGAAGTTCAAGGTCATCCTCAGCTGCACAGTAAGCTTGAGGCTAGCCTGGGCTATGGGAGACCCTGTCTTAGAAAATCAAACAAACAAACAAAAGCCCTACATCTCAAACAAGCAAAACAAAACAAAAACATCAGTCTTTGGAGTCAAAGAAAACAATGTTTTAGGCTGAAATAGGAAATATAACATGGTTTCTGGTCACAACAAAGCAACTTAAGTCAACAGATGGTCACCTAGGAGAAAGAAACGACAGAATTGGAAGGGTAATTGGCAGAATTCTTGGTACCAACAGAGCCCAAGTTGGTTGAAGCTGCAAAATACCAAACAACACCAACTGTTTGAATGTTCACCTCTGTGGGATCTTTTTTTCATTTATTAAAAAGTAAAGACCAATTTTTATTATATAATTTCTCCAGGGAGAGGTGACAGAGGAAAAGAAGGAAGTCTTAGAGAACTTATTTTTGCCAATCTTTTCCAAAACGAAATTATTACACATTTAACTCCTTGTGAAGATCATGGGATTAGATTTTCCCTTCAAGTCCAGTTCCCAGGATGGGTGCATATGTAGCTTCAAACACAGATAGAAGCAGCACAATTGAGTGGCCATAACAGCAACTTTGCTATGAATTAGTTCATGGCAGACAGTGGACAGTGATAGTCAGGTTTTCCTGGGGACGTCTCATGGGGACTCCTGCTCCGGCATGAGAAACACCCACTTAGTATCAAATATGTCGCTAAGCAAGACAGCCTCGCTGTAGTGATCGCTGGCATAATCAGAGAGCTTTACTTACAGAGACTGAAGTTGTCTGAGACTTCCGAACTGGTTCTTGTGGACATACAGAAGAGGGTTGGACGACAGGTTCCTTTTTTATCATTAGAGGAAGGGGGAGGGGATAAGTATGGCCGTTATTATTATTTTGGAAGGCTAAGATGTTGCCAGTTAAATCTGATGATGAGGCAGGGAACTTACAGTTTCTGAAGAAGATTCAGGTTGCTGAAAACGTGAGCTGGTAGTTTTGTTATCATATTGCTAGACAGGTCCCTGTTGACGACAGTGAAAACCAGAAACAGTTACAATGGGGATAAATGGCTTGGCCATCTCTCCCCACAGTTTACATCTTCCCAGTTGATGCAAGAGAAAATATGGGTCCAGTTCAACCAGGCTGCGAACTGGTGACATCCCAAGAGTCAGCCGAGGGTTTTTTTTTTCTATCACTGGCAGACCATGTGGTATCATGCTCATCCTGTTCCTGTCTGGAATTTCCTCTCACCCCTTTGCAAATACATTCTGGCTCTGAGACCCCTGATTAATTTCCTGTTTGGCACACACTCTGCTCACATCTATCACCCACATGTCTGTGATTCCCACTTATTCCACATATGCTTGTCTAGCTGATCTTTTTGAGGTCAAGACTTGCGTCTTCTATTTATTTTGCATTCCATCTAAATGAGTGGTAGCTACTCAGCATCTCCTCAGACAATCTTGAGTGGATAAAGTTATATATTTTAAATATTTTCCCCCACCTTGTTCCTGGGGATGGAGCCTAGGACCTCATGCATGCTGATCAATTGCTCTGCCACTGAGCTGCATCCCCTGGTGGTTTAGTTATATTTTATAGTTCTATTTTGCACAAGAAATTGATATTTCTGATGAAATATGATACCATTGTCTGGTCTAGAAAGAGTCGTAGGGTAGTGACTCTAGAGACTATGGCAAAGAGATCTGTTGCAACTGGAGAGTCTGAAACATCTTTCTAAGAGATGGTGTTAAAGACGAAACCTGTGTACAATTATCTAATTAAGCATAAAGTAAAACATCTTTTAAAAATGTGTATGGGTGTTTTGCCTGTATGTGTGCATACCATGTAGGTATAGCACTAACGACCACCAGGAGAGGGCATCAGATGCCCCGGAACTGGAGTTCCAGACAGTTGTGAGCAACCATGTGGATGCTGGGAACCCAACACCAGCCCTCTGGAAGAACAGCCAGTGCTCTTAACTGCTGAGTCATCTCTCCAGCCCCAAAGTATAAGATCTTAACTATTCTTGAGATCTTGATAGATATGGGCAAGCTAGAAATGGCTATCGAGGTTTTTCCCTAAGGAAGTTGATTTATGGTAACAGTCAGGGTTATGGTTTGGATGTGGTCTCCTTCCGTGGTTCAGGTAGGAGAGGTGTGGTCTTTAGTGTTGAGGTGTGGATTCTTCAAAAGGAAGGCCCTCGTGAGGAGTAGCTAGGCCCCTGTGTGCACACCCTCAGAAAATACTGAGGTAGTTTTGTGAGATTCCCGGTAGCTCCTGCGTGAATTAAAAAGGAGGGGAGTCTGACTCCTGAATACCTCTTTCACTTCCGGTCTCACCATGTGACCCCCTCTGCACATCCTCATCATATTTTCACCAGAGGCTGAATTGATGGATCTGACTGACAGGTCTTGGACTTCTAGCCTTTAAAACTGGGTTAAACAAACCTCTTTTCTCCATAAAGCACCCAGCCTCGGCTATGTTGTGAGAGGGACAGAAAATGGACAAATACAACTATAATACAAGGAAGAAACAAAATAAGGAAAGATGAATGACAAGGGGCGGAGCCATCAGTCTTGGTTATGGAAATTAGGAATCGCCTGGATTGGATTTTAGATTTAGTAAAGGAAGGGCAACTTTTAAGGTGAGTAGAGTAGAGCTTGACTAGAGAAACCCATGCTTGGGATTGGACATTGTCTTCAGGAACCCACAAATGACTCAGCATGGGTGAAAGACAAAACATGCAGGAGCTGTAGAGGAAATGCACCCAGAAGGGTCCCGGGTCACAGGAGGTGAGGGCCACACACAAGCTTCAAGGCCTTACTTCCCAGAGTGCACACACACACACACACACACACACACACACACACACACACACACACGTGTGCACACGCTACAAGCCACTCGCCATCCCAAGCATCTGCCTCTGGTTTCTGTATGCCACATCCACATTCCTTCCCCAGACCTGACCAGGAACAGCCCCCAAGAGACCTACTGCTGAACAAGTTGTCTGCAGGAGTTTGACACAGAATGAGTTTTCAGTTCAAGAACAAAACATTATCTATACAAATCACTTTAAACATTTCTGGATTTTAATTATGATACCCATTCATTTCATGGATTTATTATAATTATTTTAAAAATGCCTTTTTTGAGTTATTAGCCCCAGTCCTACAGAGCCAGGCATAAAGAATGGAGGAAGGGTTAAGACATCAATGACCCTTTTAACGTCCCAATCAGCAGGATGAGGTCTTTATCCTACTTACCACTGTGTATCACATCACAGATTTAATTTTAACTTCCAATGATTCAGTTATGTGGGCAGCAATAAATTCACAGCTAAACAGAGGTTTTCCAAAGTCTTAAAGCTATAAAACATGTATTTGGACAGAGAGTTATGTGAGGTGTCTGAAAACTTTTCCATGAGCCTGTCCTCACTGTAGACCTGTCTCCTTGCCTTACCAGCTACAGAAGTCATGACCTCTTGGGGCTACGAAGAGCAGCCATCCCTCTGACCAGAAATAATCAGCCAACAACATATCAATCATGTCTCGCTTCATCCGTCATCCATTGAGAGTTAACCATACCGGCCATTAGAGAAACATCATCCACGTGTTTAAAAGACCAGTCCCCAACACACATTTATATGAAATTGACCCAGGGAGAATAGGCAGAGAAAGCGGGGCAGGCTGCCTCCCTGTCAGTCCCAGCATAGGATTTTAATATGCTCTTGACTTCAGGATCGTGAGGGTTTCCTAATTGGGTTTTAATATCTAATAGCCTACAGAAGTTTGATTGTTCCAAGTAGAAATACAGTCTCCCTCGTCATTTAGATTAATAATCTTGGTAGAAAGCAATCACATTCTTCCCAGTAGAACATGCTACTTACAGTTCTCCTAAATTTTTTAAGGAAGAAAATGTCTTCTCTGGAACAAACTCAATTTGATTTCTAGGCAGAAACCTGTAAAACATGGTGAGAGTTAGTTTGCTGTGGCAATCAGCTCCTGCTGGGAGACGCCACTGCTGGGGGGGGGGGGGGGCTTTTAATAAGCCTCCTTTGGGGACTCAACAGGAGCTGGGCAAGACTTTCCCCCAGGAAAATCATACCCATGTCTCTTAGGAAGCTCTGCTGGGCCCAGTGTGGTCTGTGAAGTCACATTGGTTTGGTTTCTGATCATTTTTATAAGTGTCTCTTTTTAAATTCTGTTCCTGTTTCTCACTAGTCACACATTTAATCAGCAAGCATTGCTGCGTGCTTACTATCTCCGGAAAACTGCAATTACGACGCACACAAACTACTGTGTTTCTTAGCTTGCTAATGCAAATGTGCCAATTGGCCAATTCATCTGCCCTTTCCCGCCCCCAGGGCAGGCACAATCAGCAATCAGAATCGCCAGTCAGAATTTTTGGCCAATCGAAATGCATTAGATTGCTCCCACTTTCTTGGGCTTGCGGTGTACCTAGCTTGATGAGTACTAGCCACTTGCAGGTGAAGGATTTCATTTCCCCCACCCCCTTTCCCTATTGAACTTTCACATCAAGGCTGGAAACAAAACAGTACTTTGAAATCCATGGTCAGCGTTTTCCTTGACTGTCCCCATCTACAGGGCTCCTCTCGTACTTACAGAACCGTGAGCGAGTCGCACGTAAGGAAGGTGGAGTTCGTTAGGTACTTTATTTCATTGTTTGCCAGATCCCTGAAAGTCACAGAGGGAAAACACTTCAAATACCTTTGGATAAACCATCACTTAGGGGTGCTTTTCATTGATAGAATAGTTCTGAATTTTATCTTTCCTTCCTTTTTTTTTCTTTTTGTCATATATCTTTCCTAATTTTGTGAGATTTCTATAATTAGTATTATGTTTCCTTTTTCTTTCCAACTGATGCTAAAACTTAATTAAAAAACAAAAAACACCAAAAAAAAAAAAAAAAAAGAAAAAGAAAATAACAGCCGGGCGGTGGTGGCGCACGCCTTTAATCCCAGCACTCGGGAGGCAGAGCCAGGCGGATCTCTGTGAGTTCGAGGCCAGCCTGGGCTACCAAGTGAGTTCCAGGACAGGCTCCAAAGCTACAGAGAAACCCTGTCTTGGGGGAAAAAACAACAGAAAGAAAGAAAGAAAGAAAGAAAGAAAGAAAGAAAGAAAGAAAGAAAGAAAGAAAGAAAGAAAGAAAGAAAGAAAGAAAGAACAAAGGGAAGGAGGAGTCCCTCTGGGCTGGACACTATGCTGTTATCTATAAATTGTGGTTTTAATGACTCTCAGGCATGTGAATCTCTGGTACCTTTGGTGGCTATTTGGGGAGGACTAGGAGGTGTGCTCTTGCTGGTCCGTCTGCCCCCTGTCTGTTCTGTCGTTTCCCGGTGTGTAAATGAACGTGTTCAACTCCTAAGCATTTCTGTGACTGCATCTCATGGATCCCAGGTTGGCCTCAGACTCTGTGGAACTGAGACTGGCCTTGAACTCCCGATCCCCTCCTTTGCCACCTTACATGTAGTGGTACTAGAATATTACACCCTTCTAGTCCCCTCACGTAGCCTGCTGCTGGCCTTGAACAGGCTATGGAGCTGAGGAAGCCTTGATCTCCTGATCCTTCTGCTTCTTGCCTCCTGAGTGATGGAATTGCAGGTGTGAGCTACCAAAACCTATGACTAATTTTGATGAGTTTTATTCTCATAGTTTTCTGTTGTTTTTAATAATGGCACACTTATATAAAACCTCTATCGCTTACAGGCCTTTTAGTGAAAAATAAATAAATAAATACACACATGGAAATTAGAGTCAGCCAATCAACACAAACGCACCTGTGAATGTGAGAGCTGAGATACTGACATTTTATCGATTTAGGGGGACCCAGTCACCTAACTTGACCACGAGAAGAGCTGTGGAGGTGATGTATGTTTTTGATGACTGACAGCCTTGGATTGCTGTAGAAACTCAGGGAGGTGTATGTGGCAGGAATATGGGTGGTGCTGAAGTCCTGAAACTCTTAAGCAGGTAGTAGTGGCTTAGTGCACCTATGTAGCAAGGGTTTCCTGATCACCGATCATGTGGTGGGCGTGGTCTCAGTCCTGTGGGGGGCGGTGGAAACACATAAGCATCCTCTGAGGCTGACCAGTGTGTGGAGACAGCATCCTGGAGGTGATATTTCAGTGGACATTGGGAGGGATGAGGAAGAAAGCCTTTCGAAGCTTTGAGAAGCCCATGAGCCTAGTGATGGGTTTAGAATTGTGGTTTTCTACGTCTGGACAGAAGGGCATGTAGAGGAAAGTGGGGTTAAAAAGAGCAGATGGGCAAGGGATGGCCAATGCCAAGGGAAATAGGTAAGGGATAATAAAGAAGCTTGTTCCGTAAAGTACGCTTTTTTGCATAGCACACATACGGTGCCTAAAATGTCCCTTCTCAGCATTGGTTGTTGTCCATCAGTCTGGTCAGAACAAGCAAGAGAAGACAAAAGGAGTTCAAGTGGACTCATGAGACTCAGCGGGTGTTAAAAGAAAGAGCAGAAAACCCTGCTGTCAGGGGACGACCGCGTGATGGTACAGGTTGGTGGCCAAGGCTGAACATGACCTTACGCGGTTGGGGACACTCCAGGGACTTTCTTGTTCATTTTAGGTTTTTGTTGTTGTTTTGTTTGTTTGTTTGTTTTTTGAGACAGGGTTTCTCTGTGTAGGTTTGGTGCCTGTCCTGGATCTCACTCTGTAGACCAGGCTGGCCTCGAACTCACAGAGATCCGCCTGGCTCTGCCTCCTGAGTGCTGGGATTAAAGGCGTGCGCCACCACCACCTGGCCCTCATTTTAGTTTTTAAAGGTTTATTTTTATGTAACCTGTAGGAGTGTCTTGCCTGTGTTCATGTCTGTGTGGCACAGATCCAGTGCCTGAAGAGTACAGAAGAGGGCATCAGATTTCCTGGAACTGGAGTTACGGGTGATTGTGAGCAGCTATGTGTGTGTGTGCTGACACTTGAACCTATGACCTCTGGAAGAGCAGCCAGTGCTCTTAACCACTGAGCCATCTCTCCAGGCGCCCCTTTTTTGTTTTCTTTTAGAGACAGAAAGCTCACTATGTAAGCCAGGCTTGGCTTACATTTTCAGTCTTCCTGTCTCAACCTCCTAAGTGCTGTGTTACAGCCAACCTCAAAAGGTATTTTCTCATTTTATTTCACAAGGTTGTGTAAGGTCACTTTTATGCAAGTGTATAATGTACTTTGAGCACACCCACCCAATCCCCTGCTACCTCCCCTCTCCTCACGGGTGTTTAAAAACAGCAAGTGACAATAATATTTTGGTTTGGGGGAGACACGTTAGATGGATTTTAAAGATAATTCTGAACTAAATTTATGGCTAGCCTCCTTAATCCTAGCATACAACAAATTCAGTCCTTAACAAATACTCACATCCAGTTAAGTAGAGGCATCTGGGCACACAGACGTTCAGGAAGGGCTTCTAGTTGGTTACTCACCATGGACCTCCACACAGAGAAAATGGCAATTAGACACAAAATGCTTAAGCCACATCAAAGAGAGTAGTTTTGCTCTTCTCCAGTTTTGAAAATTGTCTTCTCTAATTTATATTTTAGAATAAAGTCTTCATATGTAACTACACTTTCCAAATCATGCCTAAGTGTGTGTATGGCCAGGGGCAGGTGCTGGCAGTCTGTGGCTGTGTGTACAGCGTGCATCCTAAGAAAATTATCACTCACTTTAATTTTATGAGGTAAAGCGAAAGCAAGCAGCAGACAATAACTGTGAAGTTCATGATCGTTTTCCTTGTATACCGCAAGCTTGTTATGATTTCCAGCACCATTAGTTCTCAAGATGTTTTCTCAGGGATACATTAATCATTTATAGCATTAAAAAACCATCCTGGAAACTGCATTAAATCTAAGATGTGACAGTTAGGGGAATTATCGAGAGCAAACAGTTCATGAACATGCTAAGATACATGATTAATTTAGGATACCGCGGTCCCTTTGATAAATGGACCAGTCACGGTGTTGCATCACCCAGTGGAAAGGAACAAAGAAACCCCCACCCCCGCCCCCGCCTGCCAATCATCCCAGGATATTAACAGTGCAAGCACAATTATGGAAACATCTCTGTCTGTAGGGCCTAGATTTGGGATTTTCATTCGTTGTCTCTGAGAAAAAGCGTATTTCTTCTAGTGAGAGTGGGAGGCTGCTGGAAAGATGGCTCAGTGGTTAAGAGCACTATCTGCTCCTGCAGAGGACCTGGTTCAGTTGCCAGCATCAATATGGCCGCTCGCAAACGCCTGGAACTCTAGGTCCAGGGATCTAACGCCCTCTTCTGGCCTCCCTGGGCACTGCATAAACATGACGCACAAACAGGCGGGCAAAATACTCATAGGCACGAAACTGAAAGTGAACAGATCTTCTAAAAACGGAGTTGGAACTGTATTCTGTGGTGGTATTGTGTTCCCCAAAATATTGTGCACCTTAATAAACTTATCTGGGGTCAGAGAACAGACAGCCACTAGATACAGAGGCTAGAAAATGGTGGCACTCACGCCTTTAATCCTAGCATTCCAGAGAGAGAAATCCCTCTGGATCTCTGTGAGTTCAAGGCCACAATGGAAACAGCCAGGCATGTGACAGATGCCTTTAATCCCAGAAAGCAGCCTTTAATCCCAGGGAGTGGTGGTAGAAAGCAGAAAGGTATATAAGGCGTGAGGACCAGAAACTAGAAGCATTTTGGCTGGTTAAGCATTTAGGTGGTTTTGAGCAGCACAGTTCAGCTGAGAGCCATTGGGATGAGGACTCAGAGACTTCCAGTCTGAGGAAACAGGATCAGCTGAGAAGTTGGCCAGGTGAGGTTAGCTGTGGCTTGTTCTGGTACTCTGACCTTCCAGCATTTACCCCAATAACTGGCCTCGGGTTTGATCTTATTAATAAGAACTTCTAAGATTCATGCTACAGTGTTCCTGTGAGATCCTGTTATATTTCATTCAGTTTAACTGGGATGTTGGGAAATAAAAGCAGCTCTTTGTTCAACCACTGCAAACAGAAACGTGACTTGGGGCTTTAGGAGATGACAGAGGATGAACGCGGAGCAGGCCGCTTAGGCTGCAATCGGCCCACCTGTTGCCTTTGACTTAGCAACAGTAACTACGGCCTGATGTTCAGCAAGGATGGGCTTGACGCTTTCGGTTTGCAGCTTTTTCTCAAAGGCTTCTGCTTCGAAGGCAGGGGTACTGAAAGAGAGATGGATACTTACAAGAAAAACAAGGAGTTTAATCCAGTAAAGGACCTCGGTGAGACTCTGGTGATCGGATTGTCGTCTAAAATTCTGACAAGACACATCAAAATGTTTCCAATGTTAGAGACATTCCTGAAATCAGTCCAGGGAAAATATAAGGGACGATGAGAACCTGCCTCTCCCAACGCCTGGCCCACTCCTGCCTCAGGGGGCCTGGGCGTCTTTTCCTTCATTCTCGGAGGGGGAGGGCACTGTTTTCTCCAAGGTCCTGCAGCTCTTCTCCTAGCGCTCACACAAAGTTGGAACTGATCTCTCTCTCTCTCTGCACCCACCTGACAAACACTGACTGACTGAAATGGCCTCCACAAACACCTGCCTGCGGTGGGCTGGATGAAGGGGGATTCTCATAGTCCCCCTCAAAATAACGTAACATAACAACATGACATGACATGACATGACATGACATGACATGACATGACATGACATGACATGACATGACATGACATGACATAACATAACATAACATAACATAACATAACATAACAGCTATGACTGGTCACCTCTAAACGGTAGAGGGGAATCGTATGTCTTCATTATAGAGAAGAAATAACACATGAGTGAAGAGACCGAAGTGTTGAATCAGATTTAAACATCACCCAGTGTTTGCAGACGTTGGAACTGCACACAGTACCTGCTACTACAAACAACTTTAATGCTTTTATGTATCAGTTAGACAAATTAGAAAATGCATTTCCTTAATGACTGGTTAGATGGGTAACGCTGTGGGATGTTCTGTATGTCAAATGTGTTGCTCTGATTGGTTAATAAATAAAACACTGATTGGCCAGTAGCCAGGCAGGAGGAAGTATAGGCAGGACAAAGAGGAGAGAATTCTGGGAAGTGGAAGGCTGAGTCAGAGAGAGACATGGCCAGCTGCTGCCATGACAAGCAGCATGTGAAGATGCCGGTAAGCCACGAGCCACATGGCAAGGTATAGATTTATAGAAATGGGTTAATTTAAGATATAAGAACAGTTAGCAAGAAGCCTGCCACGGCCATACAGTTTGTAAGCAATATAAGTCTCTGTGTTTACTTGGTTGGGTCTGAGCGGCTGTGGGACTGGCGGGCGAGAGAGATTTGTCCTGACTGTGGACCAGGCAGGAAAACTCTAGCTACAGGGTCATCTTTTTCATGTGCTAATTTTTGATTTAAAAAAAATCTATGATTTTTTTCTTTTACTTAAAAATACTGGTATGAATTCTTTGCGAATTTCATACAATGTGTTTTGATCATATTCATCCCCCTCCTCCAACTCCTCTCAGATCCACCTCCCCCGTCCCAACCTACCCAAACTTTATGTCGTTTTAAAAACATCTTCTGAGTCCGGAATGTGCTGTTCCTATACTCTCGTGTGGGACTGTCCACAGGAGCGTGGCGGACCTACCGACAGTCACACCCTTAAAGAAAGCCCGCTCTCCCTCTCATAGCACCTGTCAGTCACCGACAGCTCCTCAGTGGGGTGGGACTTCCTGCCCACCTCCCCCTTCCATGCTGGGGTATATTGTCTGGCTTTGCCCCCTCCCTTTCCTCATTTTTTCTCTCTTTCCTTCCTCCTTTCCTTCCAACGGGGATGCATTTTTTGAGGAATAAAGATGACAACATGAAACAAGCATCGACAAGCAGTGCAGTTCTTTAACAGATGCTATCTCGTGCCCTTCAAAAGGAGTAAATGGCCGGGCGGTGGTGGCGCACGCCTTTAATCCCAGCACTCGGGAGGCAGAGTCAGGCGGATCTCTGTGAGTTCGAGGCCAGCCTGGGCTACCAAGTGAGTTCCAGGAAAGGCGCAAAGCTACACAGAGAAACCCTGTCTCGAAAAACCAAAAAAAAAAAAAGGAGTAAATGATAGTACAATTCTTAGAAAATCACATTTTTAAAATGGATTTTTGTTTTAGGTATATGGGTGTTTTTCCTGGATGCCTGGTGTCCACAGAAGCTGGAAGTGGGTATCAGATCCCCTGGAACTGGAGTTAGAGACAGGTGTGAGCCACCATGTGGGTGCTGGAAACTGATTCCAGCTCCTCTGCAAGAGCAGCCAGTGCCCTTAACCACTGAGCCATCTCTCCAGCCCTGAAATCACACAACTTTAATCTCACAACTAAATGATGCACTCAAGGAGGTCTGTGTAGATGAGCAAATGGACATGAACACATTTGTAAGGGGCCTTGTGGGAGGAAGAGAAAACACATTGTATAGTGACAAATCACTGTTTGGAACTATATTTAGACAGCAAAAGGAAATAGTGGCCTTTGACACCAGGTGCCGCCTTGTATTCTCAGAAATCCATGGCACGGAGGATCAGGAGCAGACAGTTACAAGAGCACCTACTTACTATGTCACAGGAACTCTGCCCTGGACACTTCATATTTGTTATGTGATGATGCTCATATCAGTCCTTGTAAAGAAGGGGTCATTAAGGCAAAGGCCTGGCATGATGAGGAAGTTGGCTGGATCATTAAGCCTAGGACCAGGCTCACACTTGGTCTAGTGGAACCAAAGCCCTGAACTTTCCACAAGCCAGGCCAATCTGCAGACCGTGAACAAGGCAACACAGAACCTTCTGTGGTTCTTTGCTTATTGTGTCAAGGAAAACACAAGCAGCTGATAAGAGATGCTTGGGGATAGAGCTGTTGGCTTAATGGGAAAGTGAGGAAATGGTAGGTGTTACTGGATTCTCCAACCTTTCTCCAGATGCCCTGAGGATCAGAGCAAGCCCCGAACCTCTTGCCTCCTAACTCAGAGGTTTCTAACAAAGGGGCAATTCTTCCCTCCCAGGGGCACCTGGCAACATCTGGAGATACTTTTCTGTTGTCATAACTCTTAGAGAGAAGTTGCATTGCTGACATCAAATGAGCAGAGGCCTCCTGCAATGCACGGGGCACACTGTCTTCTCCGCTTTGAGCAAAGAATTACAGAAACCAAGATGTCAATAGTGCTGGGGTCGAGGACTTTCTGTTCTTGGTGACATTGGATGGCTGCCTGGCTTGGCAAGGCTGCCATTGGGTGCTGAGGCTCCCCTGTAATAACAAGGCCAGATTTCTTTTCCATGCAACCATCGCCTGACCTACTCATGTCTGAATTCCTTGGGCAAAATGCATCAGATTATATGTGAGTCAGAAACATAATAGACCAGAGACATCCCAGTCTGGAAACTATCCAAGCATTATTGTAAATCATTAAGACTATGAGCATTTGGAGGAGAGAGAAGAGCCAAGATACTTACAGCCAAGTGAGCTGATGCAAGTCTTTGAATATCCCAGGCCTAAGAGCTGTAATGCAGTTATGGCTGAGGTATCTACAAACAATACGGGTGAGTTCATTAGGCAAACTCCACACCTCAGTCAGCCACATACAATTAGACCGGTTCGGTGTTGTAGTCTGGGTATCTGCTTCTGCAAGCATGTTCTGAATGAGCCGAAGCACGAGCTGGAAGGACCAGGGGGTACCCAGAAACACAAGTCCAGGCTGGGTCACACTATGACCCGGGCAAGCAACGTGGCCAAGAACAATATTGGTGGATATTCCATTAGGTTGGAGTAGAAAGAAAGATAACTAAATATGTTGAGCAGTTCTTACTTCTAGCCTTTTTTGGTCATATTCTCAGTACGTTACTATTTTAAGAAGTATATATCCAGTGAGCAATGGTATGGGAAAAATAAAATACTGAGATGCTAAGGAAGTGATCTATCAGCAAGAAGACAATATTAGAGAGAGAAACTTTGCATGATTAATTATTCTTGTACAATGAGAAATTTAGGCCCTTTTTTTTTTTTTTTTTTTTTTTTTTTTTTTGGTGTTGGTTCAGGAGCTCAAACTCAGGGCCTCTCATCTCATGTTAGGCAAATGCTCTGAGCTACATCCCCAGCCCTAACACGAATACCTTGTAGTCTTTTAAGAGTTCTTCCATTTCCCCATCCCACCCCATTCTACCTTTGTGGTCTTTTCTTCAAATGATACCCATAATATACTAATGAAGGAGTTACTCACAGGATCTGCAGATTATACAATCCAAAAAATGCTTTCCTGGATATGTGTGTGATGCAGTTGTGCTGGAGGTATCTGTGGGAACAAGACGGGAAAGTCACGTGATTGCGGTACACCAGTCAGGTGATTGCAGCATACAGGCTTCAAGCTTAAATTGCGGTGTAATGACTTTTCCCCTTTTTTCCACCTAAAGGCAGTGGGTGAAACTGGATTCCAAAGCACAGAGCTTTATTCATATGTTGCCGGGAGGCATGGGAGCTACAAGACAAGACAAGGCAGGTAACGAGGGTTGGCCGCCTGCGACCTGGACCACTGAGGTCTGGTCGTGTGTGTGTGTGTGTGTGTGTGTGTGTGTGTGTGTGTGTGTGTGTGTGTGTGTATGTGTGTGTGTGTGTGTGTATGTGTGTGTGTGTGTGTGTGTGTGTGTGTGTGTGTGTGTGTGTGTGGTGCATCTAGTCATCTTTTATTCAGTCAGGAGCTCTAGCAACCCTCTTTCCTAGCTGGTCTCTATGGGAGACCGAGGAGCACCAGGCTGAGCCTTTAGTTCCGCAATTTTCTTCATTGTGTTCTCAGGAACAAAGGAGGGGCCCTTTGAGTCCTTTCTAGATGTAAAGCAAGAAGCAAACAAATCAGGGATGTGCTCAGGGTCCCAGCAGCTGCCGAACTCTGGCTGCTATGCTGTGTCAACTTTCAGGTCTATGAGTCACAAAACTTGAAAATACAGAATTGATTCGATAGTAGCAGTAACAGCACTGTTGAGGGATCCACGGGAAGAACACTCACTTTCGGTCCTCATCACGCAATGGGACGTTAGCCCTGAATCCGTACGTTCTAAAGCAGGCTGGGGCAGGAAGCAGCCATACTGATAGCGACAACTACATAAGTGGGTTTTGTTTTGCATAATGTGCGTGTGTGTGTGTGTGTGTGTGTGTGTGTGTGTGTGTGTGTGTGTGTGATGCTGAGGATTGAACCCAGGGCCTTGTGCAGGCCAGGCAAGTGCTTTACGTCAGTACTATGCTGCTAACCCCTACATTATCTATGGCTTTGGTGTCTCTCTTTTCCGTTTGAATGGACACTTACAATATTACACAAGGCTGTGCTAATTGTTACAGCTTTCTACTGTAAAACCATGGGCAGAACATGCGTGTGTGTTTGGTGTCTAACTAGACTTTGAATTTTATTCTGGTGCAATTATTCCCTGTCAGAGCTTCCCAACTGTGGTAGTTTGAATGTAAATGGCCCCCATAAGCTCATAGAGAGTGGCACTATTGGGAGGCGTGGCCTTGTTGAAGTAGGTGTGGCCTTATTGAAGGAAGTGTGTCTCTGTGGGTCTCTTTTTAGGGTCTCTTTTGCTTAAGCTTCGCTCAGTGTCAGACACTTCCCATGGCCATCTGATCAAGATGTAACCAGCATCATGTCTGCCTGCATGCCGCCAGGCTCCTGCCATGACGGTAATGGAGTAAACCTCTGAAACTGTAAGCGAGCCCCCCTCCCCCAATTAAACGTTTTCCTTATAAGAGTTGCTGTGGTCACGGTGTCTCTTCACAACAGTAGAAACTCTAACTAAGACACCAACCTTTCCTTAGAGTCATGAGTGTGTTACGAAAATGACTAGAGTTGACTGTCTTTATGTCTCCAAGGCAGCAGGATGGAAATTCAAGACTGGCTTCTGGTTTATTAGCCATCCTCGGCGCAAAAACCAACCACACTTCCACGCACACCCCCACTCAGAAAACATTGCTGATCCAGGGCACCTGCATCATACCTCTGCCCACCTACAAAGCACCAATCCCAACGCTGCAAAAAAACCTTGAGAGGAAGTGAGCACGTGTATCCTAACCCCTCCCTTTGACCCCAAACGTCTTCTTGCTTCTTGCACTGTGTCTGTGGGGAGACACACGCAGCAGAAATCCCTTTGGGACTTATGATTCTGTTATGAATAGGACAGACGGACACAGAGCAGCATCTGTCTGAATGTTAGAGGAGTGTCTAAAGATAATGAAAGTGGACGTGGTGAATTAGATTGCGATACAAAGGAAAACAATACAAGTGTATGAGATGCTAGTGAAGGCCCACTGAAGTTTCTCTTCAATATAAAATCCACTACTCAGTTAGGCCAGTTCCAGTTTATTTGAGATGATTTTTAATCCAAGGGCGCAACACATGCTTTTCCTCCTTAGTGAAGAGATGGGCGCCATTGCAAATTGTGACTGTGATGTGCTTTCATATTAGAAGACAAAGGAAAGAGACATTAAGACCGAGGGCCTGTTCGATTCCTCCTCCACATGCTGCTGGTCTCCCCTCACCAACATCACTTAAGAATCCAGTTTCTTAAATAATGGAGAGCCCCGAGTCTTAGATCTGTTGGCTATTGCTGCGGAGAGACTGCAAGTCTCAGATCTCAAGTCCCAGGCGGGGACTGCCGAACTTAAGCTCTCTCCTCGGGGTCTACTTTCTTTTTCCAGAAGAGCCATTTAGAGAATGTGAGAATGGAAACATGACAGTCTGGCAAGCGGTGCCTCTTTCTACTCCAAACCGAGACACGAGTCCATTAAATGTATCTCACACTGAACAGCTTGTCTCAGAACAGTTTCCTGGATCATGAATCTCAGCTCTTTCAGCTATCAGAGACTTCTCATGCGAAACACCAGGGCCTTATGTACCAAAATAAAGCAAATAAATACCTTAGTGACACGTGTGTTCATAAGCTATTTTTAAAGGTGACATTGTGCATGTTAGAGCCAGGCAGACACCTTTAATTATGCTTCATTGCCAATGATTGATTGCATTTAACAAGAACTCAGGGTAAGAAGAAATACCTAATTTTTATAAGGTTTGTGTTACAATGAGGAGGAGGATCGCTGTTGGTTTCCATGGCAGTGATGATAAAACGTTAGAGTCAACCCCATAAATTGTTTTTTATTTCTCTGAAAGGTCATTGCAAACTACTTTTTCTTCTTCTTCAACTTTAGAAAATCCTGGTGCTTTAAGAGGTTATTAAGATAACAAAACTGATCCACAGTAAAAGAAAATTTACATTCCTTGAGCAATGTTCATACATCTGGCAATTAAAATTAAATTTTGATATAGGAATTTTTTTCTCTTCGTGTCAGAATGACCGTAACTCTACCTTGGGGACTTAGAGAGGTCTAGACTGGAGACTCAGTGGACAGGAAGTTCTGCGCTGTCTTGGGGCGACACACTGATACACAGTAGTGGTCTCAGCAAGGAGAGTTAGTCTCTACCTTTTGGGCCCTGAGGAAATTTGGGAGCTGAATTATGCAGCGATTCCCACATTCTTCCTTCCAGTGGTTACCAGCTGTCTCAAGTAGGGATGTGGACAGCAAATGAGGAAGGACTTGGCTAGAGATGTCCAATGTTAGGTCTCCTGTCTGAACGTGCTAATGATCTCCCTGCCTCCCTGGGTACTCATCTTTCTCCTCAAACAGGGGACAAAAGGCACAGGATGGAATCATGCCTGGGACAAGACTGGATGTCTCAGTAACTCTGGAACAAACTGACCAATTTCTCTCCATCCCTAGGTTTTCATTGTGATAGTTAAGCGCCTCCATGTTCATCAGAAGCCTCGGCCTCTGGTTGTGATTCTTCCACTAGCTAATGATAGGTCTTAACTGAGTCCCTTAACCTCTGTACACTTCAGCTGGCTCACGTCTAAGGTGGTCTAATTAGAAATTCTTACAACTTCTATGATACCTGATAATAGAATTTGTTAGAGTTTGGGTCCTAAATGTCCCCCGAAGGCTCAAGTGTTCAAGGCTTGCATCTCAGCTAGGTGCTGTTGGGAGGAGCCCAACCACAAGAGATGGGGACCAGAGGGAGGTCTTCAGGCCACTGGGGGCACCACCTTGAAGAGAAGGGTGGGGGCCCAGCTTCTCTCTCCTCCTCATTCTCATCTGTTTCCTGGTAAGGAGGTTCCTTTGTCTCGCCCCATGATTCCAGGACAGGGCCTGCACCCAAACCTCCCACACTGTGATCGAATGATACCTTTCCTCTTTGTAAACTGATTGTCTCAGGTATAAGTGGCGGAAAGACAAAAACCTTGCCATTCTTCCTGTGAGTGACTGCTGTTAAATTGCTTCTCTGGTGAATGGCGTGAACGCCGTGAGCACGGCATTGATTGACAGAAGGAACATGTGACTTTAAGAATGACTAAGATGTAGGAGCTTTGTGGTTCTGATTTCCTCTCTAGAGGACTCTTGAAGCCTAGGACTAATGTGTAGCTAAGCCAGGGTGACACTGACAGTACGATCACACTCTAGGACGGAGCAGAAGGAACTGACTATGTCTCGGGTTGCAGAGAAAATAACCAGGGCAGGTGAGAGGGCACCACACATCCACACCATCCACACACAGCTCCACTAGGTGCCCTCTTCCAGGGATTTGTCTTGCTTGAGGGGCCCTGTCTTTAATTTCATGAATGTGGAATCACTGATGGTATTTCCAGAGACTTCTCTTTTATGCTAGGTATTGAAGGATAAAACAAGAAAACATTTGGGCCAAGGACCCGACATGTGCAACACCCCTTTGCTGATATTGTTACTAGACCTCTTGGAAGGTGTGGCATCTTCAGAGACCCAGAGGAATTCGGCTTGGAAGGACTGGTAGACAATCACCCAAGCTACAAATGGCTAATGAGGGCTGGAGAGATGGTACAAGCCCAGCTGCCCTTCCAGAGGACTCTTTTTCAGTCCCAGCACCTAAGGGTAGCTCACAACCGTCCAGGTCTCAGCTATTGTTTCTCTTGGATGCTAGAAGCACGTGGTCTCTTTCTTTCTCACTGAATACTATTTATATTTTATTTACACACTAGTTATTGATGTAGTCTCTCCTCAAATCTACTAATCATCATCATCATCATCATGTTTTTGCTGCTATTATCCTGGGATTCAGGCTGTTCCCTGTCATTACACATTTTAAACACAAGGACTATTCTTGCCTATGCTTTCACTTTTTTTCCAAATTAAAAAGCACATCCAGGCCCTCTGATCCTGCAATGTCATTCTCAAATAACATTAAGGAGAGACTTGAAACTATGTATTGAGATCTTGTACCTCAAGTCCAAATCAGCCCTCTGAGAATGGTTCAGTGAAACCATCCTCTAAACTACGAAATGAAAACACACCCTCCTTTCCAGTGCTTTACTTCTTAATCTTAAGTTTAGGACCAGATTTAGCAACACATATAAAAACTATTTGATTTTGTTCTCGGATCAAAAGTGCCTTAAAACATCACCAGAGTTTCCTCATAAATCTAGTATTTATAGTTACTTACATCTTTTTGAGTTCTGTGAATTTGCTGAAAACTTTGACTGGAAGACTGTGGATTTTATTTTTCTTAAGAGATCTGAAATAAAAATCAAAACAATTTTTTGTTACTTTGGAACAAGCTTTCATGTGTCCCATTATGCAGCCCAGGCTAGCCCAGGCTTATCTTGATCTCTATCCTCTCTCCTTAGCCAGTTGGTATAACACAGATAGGGTGTGATGATTTCACTGTCTCTATTAATTTCTGGAGAAGTAAACAAAACATAAGAACAAAGACTACAGAAGATCCCAACCACCTCGGCCATGTGTGATGAGCACATGACTACAGAAGATCCCAACCATCTCAGACATGTCCAGTGAGCACATGACTACAGAAGATCCCAACCATCTCAGACATGTCCAGTGAGCACATGACTACAGAAGATCTCAACCATCTTAGACATGTCCAGTGAGCACATGACTACAGAAGATCCCAACCATCTTGGACATGCCCAATGAAGGCAGGACTACAGATTCCTGGCCTTAAATTTCTTTCTGCAAAATTCAGGAAAGTTTGCATGATCTAGAACAGCTAGCTTTGTGGATCTTTCTATCTTTCCTTGAAGTTTTAGAAGGATTGTCAGCTTTAAAAATGAGATGACATAAGCCTGCTCCCTTTTCTTCAGCAGCAGGGCCGTAGCAGTAACAGTACATAAGTCAGAGCACAATGGACAAGCACTCCAGGCCACAGACAGACATCATGAGGTGAATATTAACCAGGTTCATCTAGGAGATCATATTTAAAGTGTATTTTTCTGTGGAGGAAGCAGATCAACCTCACTGGTGACTGGTTTTAGAAGTAGTTCCAGGGGCTGAAGAGATGGCTCAGTTCTGAAGAGCACTGACTACTCTTGCAGAGGACCCAGGTGTGATTCCTAGTATCCACACAGTGGCTCACAACCGTCTGTAGCTCTGGTTTCAGGGTCTCTGACACCCTCTTCTGCCCAGTGTGGGTACTGCACACATGTGGTGCACATCCATCCATCCATGCAGGCAACACTCATATACATAAAATACAAATAAGTAAATCTTATAAGAAGTCCTTTCACACATTTGCTTATTGTATTATTTATAATTTGTCATTATGGCACTACAGGGGTTTCAGTGTTTTTTTTGTGAGAGTTTAGGTATAAAGATGTGGCGCATACTCACAGTAATGTCACGTTGCTGGAAACCTTTGGCACGACTTTTAAGTCAGCTTGTACGCATTCCAGCTCGTTTTCTCTACAGGAACAGTGCTGTGGATACTGGCTGAGAACTAGGGAGAAAAGACAAAAAAGTTATACCAGAAAAAAACAAAAACAAACAAACAAAAAACCCAATCATGTTTATTTATGGCAACAACTGACAATTTTCTCTTTTATCAACTACATAACAATTTATGTCTATTATTGGGCTCCTTGAGCCCTTCATAAAAGCAAATAAGAATTCTCTCCAAATCGAGTTCATCTCATCTCTAGCTTCTTCCCACAGTCATCTTAAAGACATTCAACATTTCACAGAGCAGAAAGAAACCACAGGTGTAAACAAATAAAATCAGACCAAGCACTGAGACAAGATAAAGTTCTGTTCAGTGAAAAGCATCGTTTGTTGGAGTAAATCTCCATGGTGATGGCTGGACCAACTCAATCCGATAGCATGAAGCAGTTGCTAAATGAATGTCACGTGGGATACGTGACAGAGGAGCAGAGAGAGAGAGGCAGAAGATTTTAATAGGATCTTTAATTTCTCCACTGACCCTACGGACATTGGATTTGATGCAGTTAAGAAAGTGAAAGTTAATTTTTATTTATATTATGATTATTATAATTAATTAGTGAACTGTTTTGACACAGGGTCTTGCTATGTAGTACATTACCTTCTACCTTGACCAGCTGAATGATGGTATTCAAGACATGTGCCATGGTGTGGATGCAGCCTGTTGCTGTTACGCGCTGAACTGTGAGTATACATTCTTTCTAATTGCCCGTCCGTCTTTGCATCCCATTTAAAGTGCATTCAGCTGCATTTTGGCAGCAAAGCCACCACAGCTATTACTGGATCCCCAGTTCATACAGGAGATGCTTTCAGTATATAATGTTTTAGATGTTATTATGTGTTCTACATGGTAACTGGCTCAACCCAATAAAGGTAGCATTACTATGTTTTGTTTAATGTTTATTGACATCAAGAATATTACAGCTGTATTATTAGAGCAGAGGTTGTAATCAGAAAGTACTTGGCAATAAAAGAGTTTCATACAGTCAAGCTGGGTACGCTGCTTGAAGCAGAGACATGATGGGGCTCAGTGGCTACAAGTGCTGGCTGATCTTGTAGAGGTCCTGGGTTCAGTTCCCAGAACCCACATGGTGGCTCACAACCATTTGTAACTCCATTTCTAGGTGATGTGATGCCCTCTTCTGGCCTCCTCAGGCACTACGCATGCATATGATGCATATACATGCATGCAGGCAAAATATACACATAAAAAATAAAAGTAAATAAATCTTTAAGAAGGCAGAAATGTGGGTCTTTCTCCACCCTCTCTGTCTTGCAAAACAGTCATGCCACCACCCTCTTCTGTGGATGGCCCTGAAAGGCCCTTCCCATCTCCATCCACCTCACTCATCAAGACATTCCTTGGGCTCAGATTTGTAGCCTTTGTCCGCCCTGGATGCTATAATAATTGGCATTGTCTTTGTTCTTCCTGCTCAGCTGGCACAGTGATGTTTTGGGCCCAGATCCCTCTTGATTGGGAATCTGTCTTGTGTCTGGCAGGGCTCTGTGGTGCCCCTGCCCGGCCTTTACAACCTAACTGCCCCCAGCTACCATCCCACCCATCCGAGAATTCTGACAGTCACGGCCAGGCATGGTGTTCCCAGCTAAGACTTTCTTCTCTCAACCACTCTGCATCTGAAGGGGCCATTTTTAAGCATCTTGTCCTGATCCTCTTTGCTACTAAAAACTAAAACACAAAAACAAAGACCCAACCCAGTCAAACACACAGAAAAGCCATAACTTGGGTGATTTCCCACTGTGTGTGAATCGAGCTCCCAAACAAGACATATTAGAAAGAGACTGTTAGAATTTTCAGTTCTATTTCTTACTAATCTTGTTTCTAAATTAGATTTTTCTGTGTCGTTTTGTTTTTTCAAGCAGTGAAAAGTTTTTAGAAGCGTTTCGACAAAGCAGAACTTTAGTTTTGATAAGGGGACGCACTCAGAAGAGCAAGCTCACCGGGCAGGAAGTACGCTAGTTTCTCTTCCCAAGCAGACTGTGGCTCTCCCTGGGGTCCTGACCTCAAGGTCTGTCGTGATTGGCTAGTTTTTAAATAATTGGCACACACACACACACACACACACACACACACACACACACACACACCACAAACATTAACTCCACAATGTTTCAGGGCCTTTGTGTAAACAAAGGTTTTTCAGGGTGTGCATGGGGGGGGGGAGGAGAGGGGGGCGAGATTAAGACATTTGCATCCAAAGAGGGACAGATAAAAAGATTTGAATTCCCGGTCATAAACAGTGTTATAGTACTTGGCAGCGAAGACTCATTTAGTGGCATTGACATTTCCTCCTCATCTTCTAAACAGTTTTTCTTCAAACTCAGTGAGATGTAGGCTCCTTTCTTCTACCCTGTCTTGGAGTAAGAGACAATGGCAGTGCGGGGCACCTGTTCAGTAGTAGCTGACTCAGGAAGCCCGAGTTTGGCCCCTGGGACAAAGAGTGAACTATCATATCTATTTCACCAGCAGGGGTGAGCTCTGCCCCGCCCCGCTCCGTGGGTGGCCCCTTGGCTGGGAGATGGACCTGGAGGTCTGCCCCAGGCCCGGATGACCAGAAGGCGTTTCCTCTTAAGAAGCCTTCATGGCTACATTAACATTCCATCTCCGGAGAGAATCCAGAACTCTCTAGGAGTCAGGTCAGAGATCAGAGCTCCCCAAACACTTTTGTTTCTCTGGCTTCTGGCAAGGACGAAGCCGCCAAGGACTCATGAGGTCCAAGGACATTTCTGGCTTTTAGCCAAGAAAGAAACTGGTCACTTTTCTCTGGGGTCTTTACCCTAAACTGCCTAGCCAATTTTTACCTCCAGTCATAAAATATTTACTTTATTTTGTGTGTATGTGTGTGTGTGTGTGTGTGTGTGTGTGTGTGTGTGTGTGTCTGAATGGATCTATGTGCCCCACCTGTGTGTAGTGTCATAGAGGCCAGAAGAGGGTATCAGATCACCTTAGTCACAGATGGTTGTGAGCTACCATGTGGGTACTGGGAACTGAACCCAGGTCCTCTGCAAGAGCAGCCAGTGCTCTAACCACTGAGCCATCTCCTCAGTCCCAATTTCTCTTTTCTCTTTTGATATGTGGACTCATTACACAGGCCAGGTTGGCTTTGAACTCAGGACCCTCCTGCCTCAGATTCCTGATTGCTGGGGTTACAAGTGCATGCCACTGTATATGGCTTAATTTCGTTTTTATAGATTATGTACTAATGCATAAGTGTAGGAGTTATGAACTAGTATTATAAAGTGCATACTGCAGTCTTTCTCAGGGATGGGATGGGGATTGTTTTCAGGGCCCTCATGGATACCTAAATTCACAGATGCTCAAGTCCCTTCTAAAAGTGATGCGGTATTTGCATACAACTTACATACAAATCCCTGCATCTTTTCATGTATCTGTAGAGGCTTCATGACACTGATTATAACATAAATGCTGATGATATAGTTGTTACACTATATACATATTTTATATTATTACATGGTTATAACAGTATATAACAACATAGAATAATATACATTAATATTAATGACTAGAAAATTTGCTGTACAAGTTCAGCACAGATATAGTTTTTATGAGACTATTTCTGATTTGTTAGTTGAATGCACAGTTATGTAACCCTAAGTAAGAGGACTGACTGTACACTGTTAGTATAGAGTTTTGTTGTTGCTGTTTATTTGTTTGCTTGTTTTTGAGACAGGGTCCCACTATGTAGTAGTCTTGGTTAGCCTGGAACTCACAGAGATTACCTCCTTCTGCCTCCCAGAGTGCTGGGATTAAAGGTGTGCACAACCATGCCCAATGTTAGTATAGTATTTAAAATATACACATTACACACATAAATGAAGTTTATGTGTAATAACATGTATCAAGCTATATATTCCTCTACACATGTGTACACACACACATACACACACACACACACACACATCCAACCCTACGAGCAATACTGAGGCCAGTCTCCGCGGTGAGTGCCCCAAGTGCTGGAGGGGAATGCTGCAGCCTCCTGAGTTCAGCTCCGCCCTCCCAGGTCATGCTGTAGAATCTCAGCACACCTGCATAAAGGCATTGTGCAACCTGCGTCGGCCAACTGCCTGCAGATCTTACTGGCCTTGTTTACCTGCCAATCCTGTTACCTCTTCTATCTCCATCCAGGGACTTCACAGCCACCTCAGTGCATTGCTTGGGAGAATATTCCCACTCCTGGCAGAGCCCTCATTTCTTACAGTGGTCTTCCATGCCGCCCTGTGCAGCCTGGAATCACCATGGCTTAGTGAGAATGTCTTTCCAGATACACATGAGCTATTTGTGAGTTGGGGACACACCTTAATCAGTACTGTACTTCCTGTGTCTGGAACATAGTATGAGCTCTTTGTTGAAAAAAAAAAATCAAAGGAAATAGAAGCTTGTTATTAGTCACCATTATTGATTATCTATTCCTATGATTGGTACAGAGACACAAGAAATGAGCATGCATGGAGATGGATCTATTGTTCCATTTTTTTCTCAGGCCCTTAGGCAGACAGGAGAATGGTTACCAGTGAAACACATTGAAATGAAATTGACCTTCTGAAGATAACTGAGCCACTACAGCAGTCCCCCCTTATCCACAGGGGACACATTCCAAGACGCCCAGTGGATGCTTGAAACCAGAGATAACACCAAATCCTGTATTAACTGTTTTCCCTATTGAAAAAGTTCAATTTATAAATCAGGCCAGTGAGATTAAGAGTAACTAATTACTTAATAGAAAAATCATAACAGTATACCACGACCAATGTTACGTGAATGCGGTCTGTCTGTCTTAAGGCATCACCATCATCGTTATCATGAGCCAGAGTCCCAGCTCCTCAAATGTTCATATACTGTTTGGGGACTGCAGGTGACTGCAGTTCTTTGAAACTATTGACAGCAAAACCTTAGATAAGAGGGGACTGCTGTTCCCGGATAAATCCACGCACCACAATTACGTTTTTTGCAAAGCGGATACCGTCTTTGAACCAACACCACTTACAGCACTCCTGTGTTAATGTCACTTTATTGACATTTCCATGGACTGTGCCAAATATGGTCGCCCATCCACTAGTGTCACCTGTGGGGTGGTGATTGATACGCATCAGTTAGTCTAGAAATCAGATAGCATACCACAAAAACAAAAGTATAAAAATGTCACGAAATCAAACCAAGAAAACCCAAAGACCTGCTCAAGCAACAGAATGATTTTTTTTTTTAAAAAAATACGAAGATAGTAAGAGAGAGTTAAACAGACCTCTGTGGGCATTTCCCGCTTCACTTACAAGGATTTCAGATGTGTGCTTCACAACACATATAACGCAAAATTATTTTATGTAATCGTAAATGTCTTGGTAAACAGTACCTCTTTCTAATACTGATATTTTGAATCTTTGACTTGATTTCGGGGATTTCACAAGACTACTGCACTCTGCACATCACTTTGCCATGTGAAGCTGGGAGGGACTTGTGGAATGGGGTACTGAGTTTGATAAAATCGGAACTTTCTTGTTTTGCTTTGCTGCTGGGGGTTGAACCCAGACCTCACACACTCTCAGCACGAGCTGTATCACTCCTTGCCAGATTTTATTTTTAAATAAAGCAGAAACCAAAATACCTTTTAATAAAGACTGTTGAATCCTATTGAGAGAAAAAACAGTGCCTTGGTTTCTCATGCTTTAATGTCAATTTGTCATTTGCTGTTATAATATTCTTATTTGATATTTCTTTTATATTAGAAAAAATACGTACAAACAATTTATTTATATACATCTTTACAAAAAAAAGGGGCCTATTCTGAAGCATCCTTAATTGAGCATGTGCTATAAAAATGGTAAGATTTGAATTGTAATAGAGGGCACCAAAGTCCACACGAATCAAAAAGTAAATTCATGTGGCAGTTGCGTGCTCCTTTGATCCCTGATATCTATAATTTATCTTTATGCCTTTTTCATATCCTGAATGGTGCTTTTGGGATATCTTTAATTGCGTTATGAGCTATTCCATGTGCATTGTTCAGTTTGGGTGGTAGCTAAAGCAGAGCCTGGCCGTTTCTCAGGTCAAAGCTCACATCTGCCAAGAGGCGGGAAAGTAACACTCAGGAGCGGGAGATGTACCCGCAGGGATGCCTGCACAGCCCCCCTTGAGGGGGAGGGCCACCTAACTGCGCCTTTTTTTGTCTTAGTTATTCTGGATTGAACCTAGTACCTCCTGCATGCTAGGCAAGCATTCTCCCTCTGAGCTGCATCCCGCATCTCCGAACTGAGTGTGAAGGAAGGGGCAGGCAGGAGCGCTCTGTGGAAAGGGGTTGGAATTGTTTCCCATCCAAGGGAAGGGTGCCGGAGTACCCAGGCCCAGACAGCCGCTTGGCCCGCCAGGATGCGGGATGCGGTCGCCCCACTCAGATGCTGGTTGGCCAGTGCTGAAGAGGGCTGGCCCTGTGTGGGAGACTAGGAAGGTCTGAGTTCCCGCGTTGACCATGACTAACTTCACATATCAACCTCTCTGCCATCAGTTCTCCTCACAGGAAAATAGGCAGATTAGATCAGGCAAGACACAGGGTCTCAACACAGCCCTCAACTTGACCTGGGGGATGCCGAGTAATGAACTGTGTAGCCTCTTCTCACTTTATGCTTGATGACTCTGCTCAAATCACGTTGCTTTTGCAAGAAGGACCCCATTTCACCTTATTTCAGCCAGCCCCGGGGCCTTTTATTTTCTATGCCTGGAATTCCATGATTCCAGAACATTATCCTTCCTTCCTTCCTTCCTTCCTTCCTTCCTTCCTTCCTTCCTTCCTTCCTTCCTTCCTTCCTTTTTTCTTTCATCTTGTTCTCAATTCAAGTCAATTAAAGAAAAGTATCCTATGATTCTGTCCTTAAAGTGGATTTCCAAGATGATTTTTTTTTTTTTTTTTGTCTTTTTATTTGTTTGCAATTCATGGTCCTTGTCCCTCTGGATGTGCTCAGTTATCTGTGCACAGTGTTATTGTTTTCTTAGTTCTTGTTGTCCCATGAGCCCAAGGTCCTTGTTTTCTCCTAATTCACTTTGAGCTCACTGTGTCTCAGTGATGTGCAGAGGTCCTGACACTCAGGGTCATTCTGCACAATCAATTAATTCTCTAGGCGAGCCCAATGGCCGCTTATGGATATTCTTAAAGCCGAACAAAGCTATTGGCCACAAGGAAGCCTCTTAAAGTTGAATTATGAGAAGCAGAGCAGAATTTAGAGGGCCATTTCAATTTTTATGAGACCATCTTTCTGACTTTAGCAAGCTCTGTATCCTAAAATTCAGGTCATTTGCCTGAACACAAGGGCAGTGGTTATCAGACCCACTCCTCCCAGCTCATGACCCTCGCTCACTGGCTGACCCAGAGTTTTGGGGGACACAGGTGGTGAGGTAGGTGTGTGGAGCACAGTAGGGGGCGGGACTCACCACAGCTGTCCTCGTCGGCACCGTTCCCACAATCATCCACGCCATCACAGTGAAAGGCTCGTGGCAAGCACTTGGTGAGATTCCCACAAGGAAAATACCCTTTTGGGCACAGCGGAGCCACCATACTGCCATCAGCCATTACGAAGTCTGCATGAGAGATGAGATAGGGCATGTAAGAGAAACCACATGTGAACGCAGCTGGGCCTTGCTGGTGCTGTCCTGTTCAATGTGACAAGAACTCCACGAGGCTGATTCGTCTGGTGTCGTTCTCAGAGCATCAGTATGGAACAACACTGTCAGTTACCACAGCGGAACCTCACACTGGCTATACCATGGGGGAGATGGAGACCCATTTTGACTTTTCATTTCAGGGAGGTGAATGCAAAGAAAGCCAAATGTGTGGCTCCACTATTGATTGAATGGAGTCGGGGAGGTGTCTACTGCTGGAGACGGAAGGGTAAAGCCCTGCTTAAATAGAGACAAAGACACTGATTCATGCAGCTATTAATCTTTTCATAAGAAGGATTTAAGGTGACTTACTACATATGCAGAAGGACCATTTAAATGGGAGCTTGAGAGAGTGCCTAACCTTCATTAAAATAAGGGGTGACAGCCCAACAGTGACCTCTCATATTAGGGAGTTACTGAGTACCAGCACTCTGCTGGGTAGTTATCTCAGTTTCTCCTTCACTCCCCCTAGAGCAGTGCTTCTCAGCCTTTCTGGTGGTGCTGTGACCCTTTAATACAGCTCCTCACGCTGTGATGACCCCCTCAACCATACAATTATTTTTTTTTTTGCCACTTCATAACTATAATTTCGCTTCTGTTATGAATCGTAATGTAAATATCTGTGTTTCCTGATGGTCTTAGGTGACACCCCCCCAGTGAAAGGGTCGTTTGACCTCCAGAGGGGTCTCGACCCACGTGTTGAGAACCACTGCCCTAGCGTGTGGCTGGTGTTATATTTCTCTGCATGTCTTAGCGGATGGTAAACTCAGCACCTCGTCTGGGGTTGTCACCTGGGTGACTTAGCTAAAGTCTGGTTCCACCTTCTGGGTCCAGAGGCTACTGACGACCACTATGCTGGGAGGGACTCGATCCATCCTGGAATCTGCTTTTCACATTAAAAATGACCATCTTGGGCAGAGGGCATAACTAACACGAACAAGCATTGAACCCAAGTCCAGTACAGACAGGAAGTCCGGTGACCACTTGCAAGGTACTTGTCAGGGAGCAGGGTCCACACGGCAATCCCAGCCATTTAGAGCGAACAAACATGCATTCAAGTTGAAGAGCCTACTTTCCGGAGAAGATAGACATCCTTTTTATACATCGGCTAATAAAACGGTGGAAGTCTTGAGGTCAAGTTGAAACTTCACCAATTTCTGAGAATTTTGTACCACGTGCTTTTGATTACATGCATCCCCTCCCCTGACTCCTTCCGGATTCTCCCTCCCTTCCCGCCCCACCTCTGTGTCCTCTCTTTCATTTAAACCCATCAAGTCCCGTTTGTGCTGACCATGTGCCCCTGGGAGACTTCAAGGGAGGGGCGATAGAAGGAAATGGTAGAAAGGGTGATGGGGGCGGGGAGGGGAGGGGGATGAATAGTGGAGGAAGGCTTAAACGGGGTGAGGGGTAGGAGGGCAGGGTAGAGGAGGGAGCACAGGGAGGGAGCACTAACACTTGAAGGCCTTTCGGAAGAGTCTATAGAAACCTACTATCAAAATACGTATGTACACACATATAAAGAGTTAAATGGTCCACCCTATAACAGCAGTGGCGCCCCCACTCCACACAACAGGTTAACAAATAAAAAGTCCAATGCTGGAGACTTCACAAACTTAAAGAGCAAGCAGACTCCAAAGTCGCTACCGTTATTATGACTTGTTGAAGGTGTTGGCCAAGTGTTCCCAATGATGATGTCCCCATGCTGATCAGGAAGACATTTGGGTGAGTGAATAGGCATCAGCTGGACTTGCCGTCATGAGCATCACCTACTGTGTGCAGGGCATTTCCTCATTATCTCATCGAATGTTGAAGGCAATGGAGTCACTGGTATTGTGATCATTATGTAAAGATGCTTTTATGGCAGTCTGGGGAAACACCACACCCATTTGGCCTTCCAGGAGATGCTGCCTTGCACAGAGATGCACCTCACAAATGTTCTGGAGACTTTCCTGGTGCTCCTTGTTTACAAAGATGCATTTATAAACAGGCAGGTGGGGACCCAGTCTGTCTGACTCAGTGCGCACGCACTAAGCTTCCAAGACTGTCGTTGGAGAGGACAGTTGCAGTTGGTGAGCTTTAAGCTTGTGAGTCGCTCTGACCCTGGAGATGGAGCAAGTGAACAAAAGCAGGGCAGCTGGTCTTCCCCAGGGACAGTGACATCATGGAGCACTCTTGGAGTGCTCCCAGATGTGCCTTCTGGAACTTTCCTGATCGAGGAGGCCAATCTAGAGTGTGACCCAAGGTTGTCGGCTGGGAGTGGGGATGGGGGTGTGGGAGGGAGGGGCAGAAGAGGTGGAGGAGAGAGGCTGACCGCAAGTGACTCCAGCTGTTAATTACATCTGTCAGGAGTTTCCCATTCTGTGGTGGCTTCTTCCTGGGGCATTTCAAGCATGAACAGGGTATAGAAAGAAAATAATGACTGAACTCAAATCCTTCCTCTCTGTCTGCTGTCTCTTTCGTGTCTGGTATTACTTGGGGCTCAATTAACTTTTAAAAAAATAAATTCCCACTTATTGAGGTTGAAAAAGGAAAGAGCCCCTTTCAAAATTTAACCTTCCTGAAGTTGCAGGCTCCTATTTCAGTTCTGATGGAATAAAACCCAGTGTTCTGCATATCCTACTTGTCATTCTGTCCCATAATCATGAAATTTAAATAATAATTACGAGCCCCTGCTGAGTTTGGCACCTCCTGAAGGGACCCACTGGCCGTCTGTGGGAGGTGTATTCTGCAGTCTGTGGCTCCTGTCATCTGCAGAAGTAGAGCGAGGCAGTTGATTGAAATTCAGGCGTGATAAAAGTGGAGGCTGCCAACTTCAAAGCAAACTTTGTAGCTTCCAGAAGTTTCCATGGAGCCCCTTTGGCCAAACTCACTGTGGAGGGGAGATCTGGGCTTGTGAAAGGGAAGTGCTGTCAGGGTCCCTGCTCTCTCCAGTCTGGACTCCAGGCGTGGCTGTGCACAGGCATCACACACTGGTTCTGCGGCTGCTTTTTGCAGGCAGTTGGACTGGTGCCCAAGGGCGCTCTTGGTTTCCAGTCAACACCTTTCCTGGGTGACTGAGAGGTGATGTTCGAGAAGGCTCTTGTATGTTTTCCATGTAAGAACCATTAGAGACAGTCAGGCCCCTGTCCTGATTATTTGACAACAGCAGTCCTCAATGGAACTGAGGAAATACCTGAGTGAGGTTCTTCTCCGGAAGAACCAGCCTGCCTCCATCTTGGGCTTGAAAGCCATCTTACAGTAAAGACAAACTAGGTTCATTTCTCTTTATGATTAAACCTGTTTCTCAAGCATTGGGCTATATGCCCCACCTGTAACCTTAACTACACATGGTTCTGCACTGCCTGCTCCAGGAATGGCAATCACGGCTTTGTTTCAAAGACTTGTTTAGAACCACCTTGCAACCCTACCTTTGTTTCAAGAGCTTATACGACCCCCTGTGACTTCCTCGTGATGCCCACCTTGCAGGCATGTCTTTGTTTCAGGAAGGACTAACTTGCTACACTTATGTTCTGCTCCTGTAACCCCGCCGATTATGTCTGCCAAATCCCTCATTTGGAACCCCTTCCCTTGAGCTACAAAACCTTGTCTTCCTCACATCCAAGGCGGACCTCTGGAACCCCGCCTTAGGGGGTGGCAGCCCACGCACACAAATAAAAAAGCTTGCTGAAATTAATTGCTTGCTTTAATTAGTCTGGCCTCGATGATGTGGATCTGTGGTCTTCCTCCTCCCAACTTTGGGATCAACACTCTCCCCACACCAGTGGCACAGAGGACATTCCACAGAGGTGACTGGCTGAGGTCATTTCCTAGGTAACCTGAATGGTGCTGCTCACCTCCGTGAGGATGACACTGTCACCGAGGGAGTTCATGGAGCTGCAGGGATACAGCAGCCATCGCAGACAAAGCCTCTGCCACGCATTTGAGAGCTGATTATTGGAACACCCAGGAAATGTTAACTGGTTGCCAGTCAACAAGACAGGCACTGCTGTCCCCTCTGGGCGCTCCCTCTGAGCAGAGACAGCAGCACTCTGGGCAGCTCCCACTCGGTGGGTACACGTCCTGGAAGCCGCCCTATTCCTGGGACGTTTCAGCACATCTCTAAAAGCACTGTTTAGAGTCCAGACTGACCACAAACTCACAATTCTCCTGCCTCAGCCTCGTGGGTCACTGTGCCTACCTGGTTGTGTTCTGGTGTTTAAATTTTCCATCTCGTTCAGTGTGATTGGAGAGTCTGCTTTCTTTCTGAATGCTGCACTCAGAGAATGCCCAGTGGGTGGGTGAAGGGCAGAGGAGCATGGCAGAGTGCAAAGGCGACAGACTAGAGAAACCCCCAACACGGTGACGCTAGGGCCCCGTCTCATCTCTTGCTCCTCAGGTTCTGAGTCGTGGATTTCCCTGTCTCATAGAACTTTCACTGGCTGTTCTTCCCCTGAGCAGGATTCATCCAGATCCCACTACCATCAATTCACAAATTCACCAGCACCTGGGGCTCCTGCCATGCACCTGGTCGGGATGCACCTTGCACAAATATGGGGTGCCCCTTACATAGAATGCCTGTGCTGAGCCATTTGAAGGTTAAATGGTCATGGACCAGAGTCAGGGATGATGCTTGACAATGCCTGAAGGATGATGGTTTCCACACTTGCTCCCATTTGGAATATTCCTTTACACTGTGTGACTATATGTCACTGTGATTGGTTTAATAAAAAAGCTGGATGGCCAGTAGCTAGGCAGGATCTTCAGGGCAGAGAGAATGCTGGGGAGAAGGGCAGAGTCGGAGAAGATGCCATGAGATGCAGAGCAAGCAGGATGGGAAGTGAGTACATGAGGCAAGCAAGCCTTGGGGCAGCACATAGATTAATAGGAAATGGGTAATTTAAGTTATAAGAGCTAGTTAAGAAACAAGCCGGGCGGCGGCG